GTGGGGGTTAATTTTTTTAAAACTGGTTCCAGTTTGTTAACGCCAGGTTCGTTGTGTTATCACTGGCATTAAATGTAAGATGACGTGGACGGCTTTGCTAAGGGAGAAAGATTAGGTAGCAAGCATATGTTAAAACGCCATTGGAGTGCTGGTATAAAGGCTCACACAAACCAGCTTCAGTCTGAACCCTAGCAGCTGAAGCGCCTGGTGTACGCTCTGTAAATATGACTCATTTACAACACTTATCAGACCATTTGTATTGGTCAAATGAATTTATTGTCACGTGATATTAAGTTAAAGTATTAACACAAAAAGACAATTCTTCGTTGGGGGGGGGGGTTGGGGGGTAAGGCACCTCAGTCACCGAAGACGGACGATACCGTCGATGCAGACGACTTGACGTGGGATGAAAATCTGGAATTGCTCAAACGGAAAGTAGAATAAAACTCATCTCATACATAGAAAGCCTGAAGCATAATCATGCAGCTAATTTTATCTTTGAACAATATTTTGTGTATTAAGCACCATTTCCCCTCACTAGGCAAGCATGTGGTAGCCGAGACTGTTGGTAGGAACCCTCCACCACCACACAACTTTCGGATCGTGAAAGGCAGCGCCTATGGCACGTTCTCCAGAGCGTTCATTGAGTTTGCCTTGAAGACCCGCCAGGCCCAGGACCTGATCGAGTGGTCGCGAGACATAGAGAGCCCTGATGAGTACGTCTGGTCAACTCTGCATCACACGGACATAATGGTGGTACCGGGAGGCTATACTGGTCAGTCGGCTTACTTAGCTGGTCAGTGTCTGTTAGCTGGTCAGTTCATCTCGTGCGGGAATCAATCAAAAGTTCATCCATTTAGAGATGTTGTTTTTGAAACTATGAAATTTTATAAAAATACTAATCACTTGTTTTCATTAAAGGTCAAGGTCAGTGGTATGCAGTAGACACATTTAACGCCTTCTATTATTGGTATCAGAAGTCAATAATCATATTTTGAGAAATTACATTCAAATATAGTTTTTAAAGTGTATAATTAACCGACACTATAAATTTTCTCACCCGAGCTGCTAATATACAGGTATGATTTCTTAGCTGAATCGTTCTTCTTCTACTGTCCTGTCTTTCTATTTCAAGCTCATCCTGCTATTTCCTTCGCACATTTTGGGTGCAGTCCTTCATTTGTGATCTAATGTGCTCCACAGGAGAGCCCGATGCCAAAAGAGCGATGACGACATTCGTGGCCTGGGAGAGAGAGGTTCCATGTGCCACGATCTATGTACGATGGATCTGTATCTTCTCTACGCAAGGCACGGCTTTCTTTAAGTGTTTTTGGCATCTCTGTCAACAACTGCAATTACAAAACCACGAATGCCCCCTCGATTCTATCGATATCAATTTTAATTAGCATAAATTACAACACAATCATTGCTATCTATATTTATCTTATAGGAATGAAAGTTATTTCTTTCTCCCCAGATCTGCCCATGTTGGCCCGCCGCCAGGAACTCTTCGCCAACAAATTTTACATTGACCACCACCCGACAGCCCTGCACTGCATGGATGAGTTTATCTTCAATCTGACGGTGACCAACACAGTCCGGGACCTCAGCTTCTACCGGGACTTGCCATTCATTCGTCGTGGCTAAACATCTAGGATTATGACATATGCGTATATGTTTAGTCAGCTCGTGATACTCTCTGCTTGTGATCGACAATACGGCTATATGTTTAGTCAGCTCGTGATACGCTCTGCTTGTGATCGACAATATGGCTTTGGACATTTGACATTTAAACACCTATAAATGTTACGCCAGCAGTAAATGCCATCGTCCAGAATGTAAGAATGTCTTATATTGTTCCAGTTCCATACAACAGCAAGAACCATTTTGGAATATCTCAGACAGATAGATAATAATTTTTAAAAAAAAAAAAGTGAAACAATAAGCCAATTTTTGTTTAATCGTGGAGTGTTAATTGTGGAGTGTTAATTGTGGAGTGTTAATTGTGGAGTGTTAATTGTGGAGTGTTAATTGTGGAGTGTTAATTGTGGAGTGTTAATTGTGGAGTGTTAATTGTGGAGTGTTAATTGTGGAGTGTTAATTGTGGAGTGTTAATTGTGGAGTGTTAATTGTGGAGTGTTAATTGTGGAGTGTTAATTGTGGAGTGTTAATTGTGGAGTGTTAATTGTGGAGTGTTAATTGTGGAGTGTTAATTGTGGAGTGTTAATTGTGGAGTGTTAATCGTGGAGTGTTAATTGTGGAGTGTTAACCGTGGAGTGTTAATTGTGGAGTGTTAATTGTGCAGTATTAAACTCTAGCCTTTACATAGGGTAGCAATAATAGGGTGACGGCTGTAGGACTGTAGCCCAGAAATAGGGTAGTGGAAGCGGTATGGTGGCTGTAGGACTGTAGCCAAGAAATAGGGTAGTGGAAGCGGTATGGTGGCTGTAGGACTCTAGTCAATACATAGGGTAGCCGAAGCGGGGGTGGTGGCTGTAGCCCGAACATAGGGTAGCAGAATTGGGATGGTGGCTGTAGGACTCTAGTCAATACATAAGGTAGCAGAAGCGGGGGTGGTGGCTGTAGCCCGAACATAGGGTAGCAGAATTCGGATGGTGGCTGTAGGACAGTAGCCCATCCATAGGGTGGCAGACTTGGGATGTAAGCACATATAGGTAGATGCACATTTTGGATTTGTTGAGTAAAACTCCACTCCGGTGCTGAATGTTAGGTCACCATGATATAGACTCTATGATTTTTTGGAAGGCAGCACAAAGGAAGCTTCTAGTAGGATCTAAAAAAAAGAATACGTTCATATGTCACGCAGGAGTGTCTTATGCGTGCATTATCCTGCTCCACATATACAGGAGTCTTCTTTCTATTAGACCTAGCTGACAGTGGTTATGCCTGTTGCTGTAAAACTTTACAGCTCATTGCTGGAGTATGCACGTGATATTATGGAAGGCTTTGATGTCTATAGAAACGTTACACTGGTTAAGGTCTATGTCTGAGAACATGAAGATGCAGCGAAGTAAAAGAAAATAGAAAAGTTCCTTATAATGAAACATGAGAAGATGACACAGAATTCAGAGATCGGGATAAATGTAAGACTAAACTTATTGTGTCATAATTGGCAGACTGATCGGATAGAAAGAGTAAAACTGTATTCTGAGACTAGAGGCTGAAGAAATGAAGAAAAGATAATTCGGAAGAATACTAAAGAATATTGCCCCTTGGCGAACTTCGCTTGAAATATCAAACAGCCTCTGGTAGAACTTCGCTTGAAATATCAAACAGCCTCTGGTAGAACTTCGCTTGAAATATCACACATCCTCTGCTAGAACTTCGCTTGAAATATCACACATCCTCTGGTATTGCAAACATCTTTGCTAGATTAATCAGTTAATTTTTTCCTTGTGTTAAATATCACATCCATTTCTAAATATGATTTAATTTATCGCGATTATCAGTTTCTGCCAGAAAAAAATATTACAGAACCATTATTAGGAGAGAGTAATAAATTAAGACTTGTTTTGTCAAAGGACGCAGGGCTAGTGCACGCATAATGGTTAAGCAGCTAAAACAATTATTTATGTAAGTGTAAGGAAGAGATTTTCACATTTTCCCTTATGATATGGGAACTCCTTTTATACCCCGGGGACATCAGAAATCTCATCACGTGGTCCTGTCCTTTGTGAGGTGAGATTACATTTACAGGGCAAAATACAGATTGTCCTTTGTGAGGTGAGATTACATTTACAGGGAAAAATACAGATTAAAAAAGTAGCAAAGGAAAAGTTACTCAATACGCTAAGTTTAGAAAAGGATGATATTTTTATATTAAAATATTCAATGCTAAGTTAACAGCTAAGACTAAGAGGCAGTCTTGTCTCACATTAAATTTGTAAATATTTGTGGTAACTTGGTAAGTTGTTTCCACAATAAACTTACTTAGTAATATAATTTTTAATAGTATAACGTTAATGTCTTGCGATGTTTCGTCCCAAAATAATTATTCAATATTACTATTAGTAGTATTAGCCAACATAAAATATAAGTAAGAGTGGGGCAAATTCAGTTTTATTTAATTAAATTTTACAGTCATTAAACACATTGTACTTTCACAAATTTATATGTTCTTTCCTATCTAACATGAACAAAAAGTTCTTGGTTTCGCAGAGGTTAGAAAGGACAAAGAAAAAAAAAAAAAAAAAAAAAAAAAAAAAAAAAAAAAAAAAACAAAAAAAAAAAAAAAAAAAAAACACATTGTACTTTCACAAATTTATATTTTTTTTCCTAACAAAAATAAAAAAAAAGTTCTTGGTTTCGCAAAGGTTAAAAAAAAAAAAAAAAAAAAAAAAAAAAAAAAAAAAAAAAAACAAACAAAAACACGAACAAGTAGAAAGAAAATTTCAACTACTTCCCAATGGGAAGCTACTCAAAATTTTTTCGTCGTTCATTCTTCGTTTTTATAGCAAAATATATCCTCAAATTGAAACGACAGTAAATAGTAAGTTATGATAAACATTGTTAATAAAGGTTTAGGTCTAAAGATAGAAAATACAACCTTTTTTTACAATTCCTTTTCCCATTGACAAGTTAGAAATAAGGGCCTATAAGTTATGGGACTGAAATACCACCTTGTTTTATATTTCTCTTCTGACTTTTTCTGTCTGAAGTGTCTAACTGAAGCCCTCGTCCACTCACTGCTTTTCTGCCGGCTAAGAAAAGCAACATTGGCTAGTTAATATTTACATTTATTTAGTTTGATTAAGGTTTAATTTTAGTCAACTATGAGAAAAGGAATATTGATTTACTATGATTTATATAATTAACTTAAACAACAATAGGGAAGTTTGAAAATAAAGAAAGGCTTATTTTTATTTTAAAACTATACTTTACTATGACAGCCTATGACTATGTCCTTTGATTATGGTACTTCGTACTTGAGAATCAGATAACAAAAATGTAGGCATTTTTTTTTTTTTTTTGTAGGCTAAAACTTCAAACTGTAACTACAAACACTAAAGTCTAAAGTTAAATTAGCAAACTGAAAGGAAAAAAGTTGTAATAATTATTATTTCTTATTCTATGCAGCGTTTGCAATAATATGACCATTATCACTGCTAATTCAGTAATCTTTGAACTCATTCCAAAATTAAAATGAATTAAGACTGATAATTAGTTTAAGATACGATTTCTAAACCAATATTTGGTTTTCCACAAAAATAATATTAATAATAAACATGACATGTTAACTGTTAAAGGTAAGTTTAGGGTTAGCATAGTCACCATGACCTCGAGAGGGTGTTGCAACCAATACAAATTAATAGGCCCATTATGGTTAGGGTAGCCTACCTGAAATGTTTTATTTTTAAATTATTTAAAATATTCTTAATCATTCCATCGACTGATCTACTGTTGAGTCATTCATACTGTTACTAAGGAATTTGTTTGCTTTTTATTTGTACAGATATACATTCAGTTTATGAGTCTGTTCTAGGAATTGTTAAATAAATGCAGGACATCCCTTTTCTTAAGCTTGCATGTTTTTTCTCAGCACGTAATCAATGATGGTTAGTGTTAATAGGGGATGCCGCATGTGTGGATTCTTTAAAGATAGTTTCTTTGTTAGGTCTTGTGTGATGTTCTAATCTTTCAAACTTTCTAGCAAAGTACAATTAGTAGGCTTGAAAAATCCTGTCAATCTGTTGGAAAAATATAATTTGGCAAAAGTAAAAACTTTAAAAAAAATCATATAAATCCAATTTTTGGTAAAAGTGAAAAACTTATTACATTATTGAATTGAGTTCGGAAAAAAACAAAAAACAATCTTGCTTTTGAACATGTGCATGACAATAATTTTTTACTAGAAAGAGGTCCCCAAAGAAGTCCAACAATGGCCTTGATAATTAATGGCACCTCATGTAACTGATGATACTTTTATATTAAAATGGATAGACAAGCTAAAGCAGCCTTTATAATTTTTTGACTATTCTATAATTATACCTACTAATACTAATATCTTAAGAAAAACACCAGACCATCGAGCCAGAGCTCGTTAGGTCTTCCCCAATATACCCCTTCTTCCCCTCACCCAACTCGTGCTTTCCTTCCAATTGGACCGCAAAGCAGCACGCAGGAAGTACTCTGCTGCTGAGACGGCCCCACCCTCTGTCCACTTGATTGACCAAGCAAGCAGGGTGATGACAACCAAGGAGCACCTGGTCGGTTGGTGGTGTTACTCTTGCAGCACCAGCAATTGAACTTAATATGAACTGGGAAGGAGATAATTAAATGTCACAAAAACAACCCTTCCCATCCCGTAGTAGCGTCAGATGCTAACTAACAGGGTTTCTACAAGTGGTTTTCTACCTCGTGAAAGGGATTGTCCCTATCCAAAATTAAATATATTAATTAACAGGATGCACAAAATGTCTTAAAAATACTTTTATATTCTAAAACTGTGTTTTTTTACATTTAAACAGTACCTAAATGTTCTACCTACAGATGAATTTATCAAGTATATTACTAAAGTAAAAGACATTGTAGCAGTCAAGACATTCTAGGATTACAATGGCTGATGAAGTTGAAGAAGACGAATTTGAATTACAATTGCGTCAAGAAGAACTAGCCAGACTTGCCAAAGAAGATGGTGCAGCTCTCTCTCGGGGTCTGTGCTACACTGATGATGATGGTACAGTTATGGAATGGGACTATGAGAGAAAGGCCTATTTTCCCAAAGTAATTATTTTCAATTTATATTTAACTATGCATTAATGGTATCAATAATTTAATGGATGATTGAGATTATTTTACATTATTTAAATTTTGTTAATTGCATTCTTTATTTTTTATTCTAGATTGATGCAGATTTTATCGCTCAGTATCAAATAAACTATGGAACTTCATATGGGCAGCAAGCATCTGAGCTGACAGAAGATCAAAAAAAGTCCCAGTCTGAAGAGTACTGGAGAAACTATTACAATGTTTATTCTAAGGAACAACCACCCTTGCCTAAATTGGATGATGAAGGTAACCCTGTTGAGGAGGAAGAGGATGATGAAGGAAAAGAAAAAAAATCAGCCGATAAAGTTGTTGCCTCCAGCACCAAACAGACCCCAGCTGACAATACACAGACTGCCTCAAGTTTCGAGAGCTCCGATCCTACATCTGATGAGCATTACGAGTACAACCTCTACTACTATGGTAAAGAATATGCAGACCAGTATCGTGATTACTACAAAGAACATCCCGATGCCGAAGCCTTGCCTGACTTTATAGCTCAGAGTGCAGCCGCCGCCGCAAGTGGAGTGGGCAAGAAACAAGACGATGGGAAAAAAGGGAAAAAGAAAAAAGAAGAGACAGGAGAAAAACGTAAAGAGCCACCAAGAGAAGAAGGTAAAGTCATTTATGAATTTATCTGAATGATTAAAACAGTATGCTCTTTAAAACAGTAGTCTTTATTAGAAATAATTTGGTTTTTGGAACCATTTATTAAAACCCTCATTTGTATATGCTATTAATTGAATTTAGCAGACTTAAACCTATACTCACTTCTGGAGGAGTCCTATGTTAAAAAAATGTTGTATGGCAAGTAAAGTGGAGCTGGTAGCCAATGTATTAGCCGGGGCCTTAAAGAGTGAAAGCTGACACTGGCCCTGTTATAGCCTGTGTGTTTACCTAATATGCTTCAACTTAGCTCTAAAGCGTCCACCACTTTTCTCCCCCTTTTTTTGTTTTGATATTAATGTCACTAATTAAATGTGTAGTGCTGTACCATTTCCAACCCCTTTCTTGATTGGGAATAGGTTGATTACTTTCTCATTTTTTCTAAAGAATGCTATCAGGTGACGCAATTTCTAGAATGTCTTTTCTGTATGGTTCCAACTCCCACCCAGAAGAAATTTTCCCTAGATTTCCTAGACATTTTATTGCAGCCTTTAAATATTGTACTCTTTCTGTGTGTGTATCTTAATATTTGTATCGTTAGAGGATTATACCTTTTCACTTGCTGTGTTAATATAGTTTTTAGTTCTGTCTATTTGATTTTGAATTTTATATAATTTTAATAGTATAACTAAATTGGATATTGTTAACATCACTAGTTTTTTTGGTATAATTTTTCTTTGCATACTGGTTTTCATGTTTTCATTCCTTTGTTACATATGTGTTCCTCTAACTAAATAGACAATTCTTAAAACAGATTCAATTTGATAAACCATATAATGGTATGTAACAGACCCCCTCCAGAATATTAATTATTATTAATAATATTCTCATGACTTGTCAAGAGTAGTTTTCAATGACTGCATACATTCAAACATTTCAGCAGTATTTGTAATTGAAGAAAGAAGGCACTAAATTGTGTACTAAATTAACAAAATATTTAGATTCATTAAAATTTATAAAATGTATACATTATGTATTTATGAGAATTCTATTTTTTTTATTTGGCATTATAAAAAGGTTGGTTTGAGATTGACCCTGAGTCGTCCACCCAGGTCTATGTCAGTGAGTTGCCCTTAGACATAACAGATGATGAATTTAAGGAACTCATGTCCAAGTGTGGTCTTGTCATGTTTGATCCGCTAACACAGAAACCAAAACTGAAACTCTACAAAGACCAGGAGGGCAACATGAAGGGAGATGGACTATGCACATATATAAAGGTGAGGAATACAAAGGGATGAGTACACTTATTGATGACAAGTTTATAAGTGAGAGTAAGAAATTTTAAATAGATTTTGACTGTGTGACTTTTTTTCAATGAAAAGATCAGGAAAAAAGGCATTTAATAAAAATAATACATACCTTTTAAAGTACACTTAATACATCATTGTTATGATAAATTGTCATATCAAGAACAATACTGTCATTAGCACCAAAATTACCAAATCTGAGTTTTTTAATTTCCTCACATCCTATAATTAAGTCAAATATTAAGTATACAATACTCGACATGGTAGTTTTAAAAAGTCAAACATATTTTTTTGGGAAAAAAAACAACAACTTGTACTCCTCTCTAGATAAATCTACATATATGTCCACTATTGATTTGGCACTTACGACAATCTTGCTCTAAATAGATGACAAATATTTATTCAAGTCATGCACATCTGTTTTCTTAAATAGATGACAAATATTTATTCAAGTCATGCACTTCTGTTTTCTTAAAGATAAAAGATGAGGAATAAAGTAGCTTTCGGACATTTTAGTTTGCATGCTTACTGTACACTTACACAACCACACATATAGATAAAATAAAAAACTTGCTTTTAAGCCAGTAAGTGATATGTAAACATGATTTTACCAAATTTTTATTGTCTTTTTATCCAATTGTTTGTTTCCCAGCCTGAGTCTGTAACATTAGCTTTTCAACTCCTTGATGGCAAGGAGCTTAGAGGTAAAACAATTAGTGTGGAGAGAGCCAGGTTTGAGCTAAAAGGTCAGTTCGACCCTAAGAAGAAGAAGAAAAAACTCAGCAACAAAGCCAAACAGAAGATGAAAGAAAAACAACAGAAGTGAGTAAGAGGATTTAATTTTGGGAATTCATTATTGTTATTTAAAAAAAATTTTGTTCTTTTTTTTATAAGCAAAATTTGAGTTTTAAATATAAATTCTTATTCTGTTCATCCTTGATGCATGCCACTTCAGATAACTTAAATCAAATGCAGGTTTAGCAATAATTAGAATCTTTGATCTAAAATTATTTTATATATATTTTAAAATAATTGAAGTGAATTATTGTCATGAAGTTATTTTATTTGGGATTATTAATTCAAAGTTGAATCTGACAACTTGGTCAGTAATAACACTTCCAGAGGGATGCAATGCTATTGGATGAATTGTTTACCTTGAAATCCAACTTTTTTCCCCCTAGACTGTTTGATTGGAGATTTGATAAGTCCATCTTCCAAAGAGGCAAGCATGAGCGTACGGTTATCTTGAAAAATATGTTCAACATCCAAGAGTTTGAGGTAAGTCATTTGAACATGTCAACTATGAAACTTTATTTACTTCATGATCTTACTTTTCTTTCACTGAAAATTATAAGCTATCATTCTGAAATTATATATTTGTGATATTTTTGTTTCTCAACAGGCACCCGTATTTTACACTAAGAGTCATATCTCTTAAATATATTTTGCTTCTGGTGTGTCCTGCTTCCTTTTCACAACTGGCCCTCCTCCTACTCAACATGTTTCATTTTAATAGTTCTTAGTGAAAAAACAAACAAAAGCTGTCACCCAGTGAGCGTCATGTATGACGGCTGTGAGCATCATGTGTGATGGTTGAACTCAGGTTAAAAGGTTGAATTTTGTTTCCTTTCTACTATATTAATCAGTAAAGAGCCACAGGATTGGTGCAGGACTGTCTGTAGGACTATTGTTTAAAGGGCCGGATGGTAGGGTGTAGGACTGTCTGTAGGACTATTTTTTAAAGGGCCGGAATGTAGGGTGTAGGGCTGTCTGTAGGACAATTGTTCAAAGGGCCGGAATGTAGGGTGTAGGGCTGTCTGTAGGTCTATTTTTTTATAGAAAAAGAGAAGTTAACTCTTTTTTTTTTACTCAAAATACCCGGACCGGGTGTAAAAAAACTGCACACAGTTAAGCCGTAGTACGAATAATTTTGCTTAAAAAAACCCTCTGAAACAAATCCCAGTTAATTCATTATTTACCACGAAAGTGTACAAACCATCTTAAGTTGGTAAAAATCATAAATATCAATTTTTTTTCTAACGCATTTAACCTTTTGAAATCGTTATTTAATGTAATAATATTTTTTTTTGCACTGGACACTGTGTCATACATGTTAAAATCGCAAGCAAAATAAATAAAACATTGATCAAAAGGATCTTAAATTCTATTGTTCCATTCAAAATTACCTTTCACCCAAAGTTAAGTGTAGGCCAGTGGTCAGCAAATCGCAGCTTGTGAGCCACGTGCGCTCTTTATCAACCTGATGGCGGCTCGGCAAGTCAGCCACAAATTGGTTTTGACTCCGAAAGATATGGTTCTTGACAGGCTCTTGAAAAGAAATTTGGCTCTCAGAAAAATTTTGATCGTCCTGCTGCTGATTTTTGGCTTTTTTTTACTAAAGAGTTTGCCGACCACTGGGATATGCCATATGACCATACAGTCTGTGCGATTTTTGAAAGGGTTCTATTTAATGTTGCTATTGTAGGGAATCCTTTCGGTGCCAACTTCTAAACAGGATTGATAACAATTGCAATTTACAAACAAAACAAAAAAAACAAATCAGTTTTATTTGATTTAAGCCATATTTATTGGAGTTAAATAGTATTTAAAAAAAAAAAAAATTGATTTTAATATTTTTTCAATAAAGGGTTTCTTAAGATTTTGAAAGTATATTAATGTTTACAAAGATGAAATATACAGTTAAATTGTTTAAATAATTTTTTTTGATTTAAATTGCATTTTTAAAATTTAATTCTTTTTTTTTTTCTTGACCTGGAATATTTTTTCATGTTTTAAATGAGAGATTAAGATTTTGACGTAAATTAATGTTTGTCAAAATTAAATATAATGTAGTTAATGGTGTAAATCAAGTTTAAAAAATATAATTGCAATTGGATTTTAAAAAATTAAATTTTTTTTTTATCATTTCAAATATATCTAATTCTTCTTTTTTTTTTCAAAAAGTATTTCTTTAGATTCTGAAGTTTATTAATTTTTTTTTATAGATTTAACATAATACATTCAATGTTATTTAAATTAAATTTTTGGATTTAAATTGTTTTTTTTTAACCTTTATGAATTAAATTAAATTACAAATAATAAAATATTAATTAAAGTCATAAAAAAAATCCCAGTATGAGCTTTCCCTCTATCATTTAAATACTAATAAAACTGATTATTAAAATAATTAAATAAATAAAGTTCTAGAAACTTATCATCAACAATAGGCATAGTGACTCATATAGTCTAAATATTGTAGTCTTTATCTAATATATGAGTAAGAAGTTCAATTTTGTCATCATAATCAGTGGCGCTACAGCCCATGAAGGGCCCTGGCCTGCTCCACCACAACCTTCCGTTCGGAAGATCCATGGCTTTCCGCCTCCATGCACGAACCCCCAACTGGTGTAAATCCTTCTCTACATCGCCGATCCATCTCAGCCTTGGGCGACCGGCGAGTCGTCTGCCCCTAGGTTTCTGCCTGTGTATCATTGTATATAAGAAGTTCAATTCAGTTTCAATCTTTCAAATTATCAATATCTATTTCATAATATTGTCATTCATCGATGCCATTCTATTCCGAAAACGCCTTCTAATTAAATAATTTGCATACACAAACTAATAGTCCAGCTTTCTCAGCCTCAAGTCGATTTCTAATTTCTAAAAACTGAATAGGTTAATTGAATAGAAATTAAATTTATTATGATCAAATCCTAATTATATGTCAAAAAATGATATATTATGTGACTAATACAACATTAAAACAAACTGGAGTTCACTTTAGCGAGTGCCTTATAATAGAGAAATAAATAAAATTGAAATCACAATTCATAAATTTCAATCAGACTAATAAAAATGAGTTGATTTAACTCATCTCATCCCTGACCATGATTACAAATCAGTGTGTGTAGTTATTATCGATGACTTTAGTGTCAGTAAGCGTTCTTTTATTTGCCATTAAATGTATTTATATTACTAAGAATGAATGGCCTTAGTCCAGGCCGGCACAACATACGGCTCGAGGGCCGCAAGTGGCCCGCCAGCACACACTTGGCGGCCCGAGAAGCAACGAAATATTCTTTATTTATTATTATTTTCTTAATAGCTCTCCCCCTGTTCTATTATATTTCGGCCGCACAAGTTTTTCATAAAGTATTACGGCCCACCTTACATTTTGAGTTGTGCCGGCCTGCCTTAGTCTTTTAGTTTTAGTCAATATGCCTATTTATTAATTCGGCCTATGCCATGACTACTTTTAATGTGTTTACACTTTTTATAACTTACTATAATTAAGGCAGTAGCGATTTTCTTCGTTGTTTTTAGAGCCGTCATCAGCGAGAATTATATATTTTTAAAATGTTAATATTTTAATCCAGCAGTAAACTTCCAATGAAAAAAAAAAAGTTTGCATGAGACATGCACCAGGGGAAATTTTCTAAGTGGATGTCAGACTGAAAACCCTTGAAATGTTGTTACTTCTTCAATTGGATCGGCCCAATTTGCAACAAAAATAAGACATTTGAGTGCTTGTTTTAGGCTCTTATGACATTCAAGCATATTTAAAATACCTCCTTTAAAACCTTCTTTTCTCAGCCCTGTCATGTTGATAATCAATCAGATAAAGTTATAAGGACAGAGACCTTGTTTGACAATTTCAATGCAGTCACATCTATTTTACAGTGCACAATTAATATTAACAATGACACTTGTTTTATGGGGTTTTCAAACTAATCCGGAACCTATCAAGCGTTCATAACACAGATCAATAAATAAGATAGCTATAAATTATTATGTTTTCAAATGTTTTTCTGTACAATCTTTCATGCTTTGTACAGTTTTTTTTACTCTTGCAGGTATGATCTTAAATGTTCATAGACTTATATTATAGACTTATTTCATAGAGTTATTTCATAGACTTATTTGATAGACTTATTTCATAGACTTATTTCATAGACTTATTTCATACACTTATTTCATAGACTTATTTCATACACTTATTTCATAGACTTATTTCATACACTTATTTCATAGAATTTTCTCTAAAGCCGTCCCTTTGATGTTTTTAAAATATCACTATAAGGAGAGTTTATATTTAGAGGATTTAAGCGTTAAATGTGTCGGTGAGCGAACATCTGTGATCAGGTTATGAAAACATGAATTGATGTTAAGAGCCGCGCTCATACAGTTAACGCTCATACAGTTAATGATTGTTCTGTTAAAAGGGGTTGAGCAGAATTGGTGTCTAAAGTTCAAACGTTCCTCCTGTCTACTTACTGCCGACAATGAACGCACTAAGCCTGATCCCCGTGTCAGTGGCAGGGCCTGTATTATGCTAACCATCGTTAGTCGTCTGTATTATGCTAACCATCGTTAGTCGTCTGTAATATGCTAACCATCGTTAGTCGTCTGTAGTATGCTAACCATCGTTGGTCTTCATAATTAGCAATAGTGTTGCATTTTTGTTACTGACGCTCCGCCTACATTTTTAGTACATCCTCCGTACGCGTATATCCGTATATCGTGTGTTTAGTGCTAACACTCGAGGCACCGAGCATGTCCCTCGAGACTTGATGAAAGATGAGGCCATCAAAATGGCTTGATGGTAATTATAACTCTTACTGGAAGATGAATGGTGACCACTGTTGGCTTTGATGGCCTGACCTCTCCCCAGCTCACCCAGGGGCAGCATTCTCATGATGACCAGCGAGATAACTCATACAGGCATCGTCAAAATATTGGATGACCTCCCTTGGGTCTAGAATGCGGACCGCGCATAGTTTCCATGTTAAACATTCATGTGTGTCCACCCAGTGGCGTACTTACCGTAGTGGCAGATGGCTTACGTACCATAGTAGCAGATACAGTCATGTTTCGGGACCCTGTCCTGTGTGTGGGGTTTTGGGCGGGGGGGGGGAGCACAATCAGCCAGTCGAAGTGTATTAATAGTTTCAAAGTAAAGGCAACTTTTCTTTATTGATCAGAACCAGAGTATACGGAGATGGCTTACGTACCATAGTAGCAGATACAGTCATGTTTCGGGACCCTGTCCTGTGTGTGGGGTTTTGGGCGGGGGGGGGGAGCACAATCAGCCAGTCGAAATGTATTAATAGTTTCAAAGTAAAGACAACTTTTCTTGATTGATCAGAACCAGAGTATACGGGAGATATTAAGTCTATTGAATGAACTGCAGTAGTTCAAATTGAAGTGATGTTATAATGACACTCAGGTTTACAGTGCGTTTACTGTTTTAGTTAAGTAACTGTTGGTGTTGGAGTGGGGGCCCGTGCACATAAAGTTGGTAGTAGACACGGCTGTAGTTGTTGTGGGGGGCCCGTGTACATAAAGTTAGTAGGGAGACACGGCTGTAGTTGTTGTGGGGGGCCCTTGTACGTAAAGTTGGTAGGGAGACACGGCTGTAGTTGTTGTGGGGGCCCGTGTACATAAAGTTAGTAGGGACACACAGCTGTAGTTGTTGTGGGGGCCCTTGTACATAAAGTTAGTAGGGAGACACGGCTGTAGTTGTTGTGGGGGCCCTTGTACGTAAAGTTGGTAGGGAGGCACGGCTATAGTTGTTGTGGGGGGCCCTTGTACGTAAAGTTAGTAGAGAGGCACGGCTGACGTTGTTGTGGGCGGCCCAACGGCTGTAGTTGTTGTGGGGGTCCCGTTTACTTAATGTTAGTAGGAGGCCACGGCTGTGGTTGTTGTGGGGGCCCTTGTACATAAAGTTAGTAGGGAGACACGGCTGTAGTTGTTGTGGGGGCCCTTGTACATAAAGTTGGTAGGGAGACACGGCTGTAGTTGTTGTGGGGGCCCTTGTGCATAAAGTTGGAGTGGGACCTTGGTGAGAAGGTTACGTCACTGCTACCATCCCGGTAACTACCACCCCGGTACCTACCACCCTGGTAACTACCACCCCAGTACCTAACACCCCGGTAACTATTACCCCAGTACCTACCACCCCGGTACCTACCACCCCAGTAAATACCACCCCGGTACATACCACCCTGGTACGTACCACCCCAGTACCTACCACCCCGGTAACTATTACCCCAGTACCTACCACCCCGGTACCTACCACCCCAGTAAATACCACCCCAGTACATACCACCCCGGTACGTACCACCCCAGTACATACCACCCCGGTACGTACCACCCCAGTACCTACCACCCTGGTAACTACCACCTTCTGTTTTACTGTCTCTTAGACATCGGGGCTGACATAATTTAGTCTAGACTACGTGTCTAGTGTTCATCGTTTACAATTTTCATTTAGACATTTAAAATATTTCAATAGAGTTATGGGACAAAATATTTGACTTGATCAGCTAAAAGACTTATTTATGACCATGTGGACGACTTAAGACCATTTGCAACAAACATAGGTCCTTGCAAGTAACATAGGTAAAATCCTTGCAACTAATTTAGGTGAAATCCTTGCATCTAACATAGGTGAAATCCTTGCAACTAACATAGGTGAAATCCTTGCAACTAACATATGTGAAATCCTTGCAACTAACATAGGTGAAATCCTTGCATCTAACATAGGTGAAATCCTTGCATCTAACATAGGTGAAATCATTGCAACTAACATAGGTGAAATCCTTGCAACTGACATATGTTAAATCCTTGCAACTGACATATGTGAAATCCTTGCAATTTATATAGGTGAAATCCTTGCAAGTAACATAGGGGAAATCCTTGTAACTAATATTGGTGAAATCCTTGCAACTAACATAGATGAAACCCTTGCAACTAACATAGGTGAAATCCTTGCAACTAACATAGGTGAAATCCTTGCAACTAACATAGGCGAAATCCTTGCAACTAACATAGGTAAAATCATTGCAACTAGCATAAGCAGTGACCTTGCATGTAACATACTAGCTCTTCGCATTTAGCATCCTCCTTGCGCCTTACATAAGCTAAATCCATGACCTTACATAAGTGATGTCCTAGTACTTAACGTAATGGGTGTCCTTACACCTAACACAAGTGATGCCCTTACACCTAACTCAAGTGATGTCCTTACACCTAACACACGCGATGTCCTTACACCTAACACAAGTGATGTCCTTACACCTAACACAAGTGATGTCCTTACACCTAACACAAGTGATGTCCTTACACCTAACTCAAGTGATGTCCTTACACCTAACACACGTGATGTCCTTGTACACAAGTGATGTCCTTACACCTAACACAAGTGATGTCCTTACACCTAACTCAAGTGATTTCCTTACATCTAACTCAAGTGATGTCCTTACACCTAACACACGTGATGTTCTAGTACACAAGTGATGTCCTTACACCTAACTCAAGTGATGTCCTTACACCTAACTCAAGTGATGTCCTTACACCTAACTCAAGTGATGTCCTTACACCTAACACACGTGATGCTCTAGTACACAAGTGATGTCGCTGCACCCAACAAAGCGCTCAGCCTAATTGACCTCTCTTACGATATAAATCTGATCTCAATGCCAGCACAGTTCTGCGGTTTCTGATTTCCTTATCTCCGATGTTGCACCTATTTATCATCACTTTGTCTCGCGGTAATTGATGTCCTGGAACACCCCTCTTGTCATATTCTCGCGAGCTCCGACCACGTGGGCATCCCAGAGATGCAGCAAGGCAATGTCGCGAATGTGCAGTGGGGGGGACAGACGTCGGTGCGGGATGTTGGCGAGATGAACAACTTGTCCAGATTTATGCTGTGCCGTCAGAGGTGGGATGGAGTCTTTTTGTCGCCGAGACCAAATGGAGTTACACGTTGTCAAGTAACTCTGACACATTAGCCGGACGATTTTATTTCATGCTATTCAGTTATCTGTTGGTTGTGATGTTTTAGTGTACGTTTTTCTTACTCCGATGTAAAAATATCGCAGCTTTTTCAATTGTTTTATCAGCACAATCTCATGAACCTTGCACTGAAATATGCAAAAACTTCACAGTTTACTTGTTGAATTATTGACTTTTGCCGACTTTGTCATATACGACTCTCATTATTTTCCTTTTGACGACAACTTCAGATTTGATGCTGAATGATTGGGAGTGGGGGGAGGGGGGGATAGTAATGGTGCATGTGCTGGTGGCGGGGCATAAGATAACATTGGGAGCATTCGTACTAAGCTCTTACTTTGTACACGTGTGAAGTAAGGCCCAATAATAACATTATGTCATTGGTACACGTGTGAGGTAAGGCCCAATAATAACATTATGTCATTGGTACACGTGTGAAGTAAGGCCCAATATTAACATTATGTCATTGGTACACGTGTGAAGTAAGGCCCAATAATAACATTATGTCATTGGTACACGTGTGAAGTAAAGCCCAATAATAACATTATGTCATTGGTACACGTGTGAAGTAAGGCCCAATAATAACATTATGTCATTGGTACACGTGTGAAGTAAGGCCCAATAATAACATTATGTCATTGGTACACGTGTGAAGTAAGGCCCAATAATAACATTATGTCATTGAATACCGACAAAGATATGCAACATTTCCACCTTTTTTGAAGTCTGACAAACAAATAGGTCTAGAAAAGACTTGAGCTGGATTATATTTTCCTAACTCATCACCCTCCAGCCCCACTCATCAACCCTTAAACCCACTCAGCACCATCCAGCCCTGATCATCACCATCCAACCCCACTCCTCCAGACATGGGTTCATTATCCGGCCAGCGAGCACATTCTCTATCCCAGAAGTCATTATCCGGCCAGCGAGCACATTCTCTATCCCAGAAGTCATTATCCGGCCAGCGAGCACATTCTCTATCCCAGAAGTCATTATCCGGCCAGCGAGCACATTCTCTATCCCAGAAGTCATTATCCGGCCAGCGAGCACATTCTCTATCCCAGAAGTCATTATCCGGCCAGCGAGCACATTCTCTATCCCAGAAGTCATCGGTTACGCCTGTGATTGATGGAGTCTGCGAGACGTGTATGCCAAAATTGCTTTTGTTGTTCTTCGCTGACATCCGCGTGGCACTGAAAACATAATGGGACTAATGGATGAGCCTCACCTTCTATACCTACCTTCTTACCCCCAACCTTCCGTTGCCTCCTGCCTGGCAGGTACAGGAGGCTGTCAACGTTTAGATTAGTTTCATACATTATTTGTTGACATGATTTATTATTTTATTATATTAAATCTTATTTGAAGAATCCACATACTTAAGAATCGATTCACTGAGTTGTAACATAAGCTGGACTGTCCCTAAGTCAACATGACGCAGGGAGAGGGGCGATGAAAGAGACTTATACCAACGCGGATACATTGGGTATTGGAGTCAAACATTTGAGATAACTTATAATAAATATTTTTATAATTCTCTCTCTCACACTTATTCTCTAGGCAAAACTTTTTTTTTTTCTTTTTGCCTGCTAATAACTGCATAATAATGAGCATTTCGTATTTTAGCCTTTGGGTCTATAAAAGGTGATGATCTTTTTGAATGCTTTACTAAATGGATCAATAGTGGACTTTAAGAAAACTTGCAAATGGCAAGTCTGTGAAGTCCGCTTTCAATATTTCAAATACAATATTTAAAAAAAATAAAAATAAATTAATAGTCCTCAGTCAGTGATTTGCGTCTCCCACAGCTATTTAGCGAGACCTCCGGAATATTCGAGAGTAAGCCTCCATTGTTGTAGTAGGGGCCACCAGTAATCTTTAGTAGGCCAGAAAGCCCCGATTGGAACGTTCTTCTTCGGTGAAATATTTCCCCGCAAACGGTTGGGGGACCTTCATTCGTCGTGCTTTGTTCGTTCGCCCTTTCGCCCCTCTTTCCTTCTCACACGCCAACCCTCCCACCTCAGGCCAGGTTTACTATGCCTGGTTTTGTCGGTCGTCTGTTTTGAAAAGGTTCGCTTAGGAAGGGGAGAGACGAAGAGGTTCCGCCATAGAAAACAAACATGCAAATCAGAACCACAGCGTAGTCTCTCTTGAGTAAATAGAATATATACAACTCTGTGGGTTCCTTGTCTTTCTTTTTTTTTTACTTAGCTGCTGAGAATAATCCAGAAATAATACTACTTACAATCAGTGCTGACGTCACTGACGTGTATACTCAGGGCGGTATCAAGGAAATGCTGCGCCCCCCCCCCTTTTTTTTTTTTAAAACGAAAAATATAGATTTATATAAATTATTCATGAATGAAGACGAGGTTGGCGCCAGTTGAATAGAGCAACTGAAGCCTTCGCCCCCCCCCCTCTTTGACCCAGTTCACAAATAAACACAAACCAATGACGCTTTTCTTAATCTATACACCGTTGTCAATGACTTGTCACATCGAACCTTATTGTCAATCAATGGTCACACCATACCTAGTTTTATTTAACTTGTGACACCGAACCCTGTTATCCCTGTCACCAAACCGTGTTTATTTGACACCAAACCCTGTTGTCACTTACACCAAACTCTGTCACATGACAACCTTGAATAGAAAAAGGGGATCCCACACACTTGCAGGGCCGATTAGATTCTGTCATTTAAGTTTTTAAATCGTCATTCTTATACTACAGTATTATAACACATTGTTATAATACATATTTACTTTGAACATCATACACCAATATAACTCAGTGTGCGCCATGGAGTAATGTTCTAAAGGTATGCTACATAAGTTATAACAAAGACCACAATGGTATTACACAAAGACTTCATTGAGGTTTGCACCTCCAAGCCGTTGCCTCAATACAGGTACTATAATTATGTTGACTTTGGCTCATAGTGCGAGTATACACTGAAGTCTTCCCTGACTATTTTGGCGCTGAGAATGACAACAAATAGTCCCAGTGCGCCCGCAGACCGCACGGTGCATCCTACCAGGCGATAGAACCCAGCCAGAGAACGGTCGATTGTGTTTTACAAGCACGCTTTAAATCTCTGGTTTCTTCCACGTGGTTTGAAACTTTTATCAATATGATCTCACTGACTGCAAGCATTGTTCGTGTACCACTGCAATCCCCAGTCTCCAGTTATGTTATCAGGCGTTGTCGCTGAGATTGTCAAACTGGAAGAGAGAGAAAGAACGGCGGCTTAACTTCCGTTTCAACATAGTTCGATCAACAACAGTGCAGACGTGTGTATAAACCAATTCCCACTCTTCACCGTCATTAATACAAGAGTCGAGACGTGATTCTTTTCTTGCTTAATTTGTTTTGTTTGTTAATAGCTTTGAAAATAGACGAGCTTTATACAAGGCTTTCTTCCCAGTCCTGTCTATATACAAGGCTTTCTTCCCAGTCCTGTCTATATACCGGGTTTATTTCCGCTCCTCTCTACCGGGTTCAATGCCTGTCCTCTCTACCGGGTTTATTGCCTGTCCTCTCTACCGGGTTCATTCCCTGTCCTCTCTACTGGGTTCATTCCCTGTCCTCTCTACCGGGTTTATTCCTTGTACTGTCTACCGGTTTTATTCCCAGTACTGTCTACCGGGTTTAAATACAATGCGTCTGTTTCCTGGTATCTGCTCTTACTACTAGTAGAAGAATTTAACAAAAGAGAACAAGCGTAGACCACCCTGACATCACTGTTATAGCTGGAATAGGCCCCCCCCCCCCCCCCCCCCCCCCCCCCCCCCTTTTTTTTTTTTTTTTTTCCCCCCCCCCCCCCCCCCGACCCCACCCACTACGTTTTGTATATTTAGCTGAGATTTAGTGCATCCACTGTGCATGCAGTGTATCTCATTTTTGTAAAACCTTTACAAGATACTCAATCCATGTCAATAGTCAGTTCTTCTCGATGACCTTAAATATTTTCATTTGACATATAATTATTTATGGGATGTGCAGCAGCGCCTGGTCCATCTTAGTTTTGTAATAAAATATATCTGAAGTCCACCAGACTACCCGCCCAATCCCTTCCACAACCTCCCGTTCCTCCAAGCCCACCCCATCCCTCCCACCACCCCATCCCTTCCACCACCCCTTCCTTCCCACCCAGCTATTCATTCCCTGTCCATGTAATGCCTGATGTAAAACGCCCTGTCAATGTTTATAGACAAAATGTTTACCAATGTAATAGGTGTCACCGTAATTCGCCGGTTCTGGTAGCGGAAATTCCCTTAACATTAACGGCCTTTGATTGGCTCTCTCTCGTGACTGCTTTTAACCCTTTACATTCCTTGGCGGTAACGTCCAAGCAACTCTCTCTCTCTCTCTCTCTCTCTCTCTCTCTTCATCTCTCTCTCTCTCTTCCTCTCTCTCTCTCTCTCTTCCTCTCTCTCTCTCTCTTCCTCTCTCTCTCTCTCTCTTCATCTCTCTCTCTCTTTCTCTCTCTCTCTCTCTCTCTCTCTCTCTCTCTCTCTCTCTCTCTCAAAATTCCCTTAACATTATCGGCCTTTGATTGGCTCTCTCTCGTGACTGCTTTTATCCCTTTACATTCCTCGGCGGTAACGTCCAAGCAACTCTCTCTCTCTCTCTCTCTCTCTCTCTCTTCATCTCTCTCTCTCTCTTCATCTCTCTCTCTCTCTTCATCTCTCTCTCTCTCTTCATCTCTCTCTCTCTCTCTTCATCACTCTCTCTCTTCATCTCTCTCTCTATCTCTCTCTGTCTCTGTCTCTCTCTATCTCTCGCTCTCTCTGTCTTTCTCTCTCTCTCTCTTTTCTTTCTATCTCTTTCTCTCTCTTTTTCTCTCTTTTCTTTCTCTCTCTCTCTTTTTCTTTATATATCTCTCTCTCTCTCTTTCTCTCTCTCTATCTCTCACCACCAATAAGTGCTTGCTTTCAATCATTTATAAAAATACCATGTGAAAATCTTGTACATGCCCAGTCGAGTGACCGCACGCCGCACTTGAACATGATCATCAGTTGGAACGGTTGTTCATGATCGTATATTTGATGTGCTCTTTAAGCATATCATCGCTTAAATGAAGACAATATCACGTGACCATATCAACAGAGACCACGTGACGATCACTTCCATGATATTATAGACAACAAGGAGGACAGTGTCCGACCTTTTTTTTTACAAAGAGTCTCGATGCAAAGTGACCTGTCTTTATGCGTTAAGACATAAATTGATACTGTTGGAGAAAAAAAAGATGCACTGTTATTATATTGTGCAAACGTTATGTACCCACGCATAATTATATTTAATTATATTTCTCTAGAGCGGCAGTTCTAAACCTGTGGGTTGCGACCCCTTAGGAGGTCGAACGACCCTTTCCCAGGGGTCGCCTAAGACCATCGGAAAACACATATACTTTACAGTTATGAAGTAACAACGAAAACAATTTTGTGGTTGGGGGTCGCGACAATATGAGAAAGTGTAATAAAGGGTCGCGGTATTAGGAAGGTTGAGAACCACTGCTCTAGAACCAAATTATTTTCTAATCTGATGTTTGACTCGTCGACCCAGCTGAAAACCAAGCTCCGTGATCCCATAGGTTGGGACCCAGGGATGTTGAGCAGTTCACGCGTTGTAACTCTTGTGTCCAGTCGTTGATGCTCTTGGTTGTTCGGTTACAGCCTGCATGGATTCAGCTTCGTAAACAAGTTAACATCCCTGTATAATTACATTTGATGGTCGATTTTAATAAGAGAATAATTATTTGCCAAATTAAAAGTTGTAAATATCTTAAAGAAGATTTTCAAAAATTAATGTGGTGCATTTGTAAACCACCGCAAGTGGTAGGGTGGGGTGAGGGGAGGGATAACTGTTGAATAATTATTTTTTTTTTGAAAGCTCACCGTTTTCAGGGTTCGTTTGAACATCAAGGATGTCAAACTGCCCGACAAGAGGTAATCTCCCCGTAATTAACCATCTTCTCTTCGGCAATGAGATCGGATTATTTCCCGTGCATTTACAAGGGTAAACACCTCGCTATGTGGCAGTACTCTCTGGTCGCGGGTGAGTTGGGGGGGGGGGTTGCAAGGAGAGTGGCTTCAACTTTATTTCAAAAAAATATATATAAAAGAAAACACGGGAGTTAATTTATGCCTAAAAGGCGGCAGAAGTCGGCTCGCTGGGTACCACGGGGCTGCCGGGCTTGGAATAATAATAGCCCCAATTTCACCCGAAGGAGCGCGCAACTCTAGGAGCAGGCTCATCACGCAACCCCGGTCGCTCCCCCCCGGGCCACCCTTCACCGTCGGGAAGACGTTCGTTAAAAAACGGCACTCTCTCTCTCTCTGTCCCAGTGAAACAGCATCGCGTCACCTGGCTTTCATTAAGCAATCAGCGCTGGCATGGCCAACGTGTTGTCTTACCCCTCCCTCTCTTGCCTGCAGAGTTCCACTCACACATTCACCACCTTCTGTAATAGCCCGCGGATTTCAAGATTTCCCCGGCGCCAACTGATCCGCTGCCCTGCTCGCGTTTTCGAGACGGGGCCTCCACCCCATCTCTGGGGCCACGGCGTGTTCATCATTTGTTCAGCGTCGTGTCCTTAAGTTGCACACTTCATCGCCGGGGCACGTAGTTGTCATTTACACGCCAGCCAGTCGTGTGGCGTAACCTTCCATTCCAAGCTTGTACATAGCCGTACACCCGATGACATTTTAGCCCCTAGGTACATCCGTCTCGTTTCATTAATGCACTGTGTAGTATTATTCTTTACCATGTGTTAGCCGACCTTACCCTAGCTTCTGCACCATATCAGGATGTCCTGGTTTATATACCTTATCAGTATGTGCTCGTTTTTACACCATATCAGTATGTCCTAGTTTCTATACCATATTAGTGTGTCCTATTTTTTTTTATACCATATCAGTATGTCTTAGTTTCTATATACCTTATCAGTGTGTCCTTGTTTCTATACCATATCAGTATGTCTTAGTTCAGGGGTCTCATACTCAAATCATCGAGGGGCCGCAGGAGGTAGAGTCTGAGTGAGACTGGGCCGCATCTAGTATTCCACAAAAAAAACAAAAAAACAAAACAAAACAAAACGACGACAAATTCAGTTAAGTCCAACTGTTACAATCTGCTCAACCTTTGTTAATAACAAATTAAAACTTTAAGGGTTCTCATGAACTAGGCTTCACTTTCTTCTTCCTTCTCCTTTTTGCCAGAAACTTGCAAGCGCTTCTTCTTACACAGCTGAGCAACATTCGGCTTACATGAGGAAGCAACTGAGACCCTCAGTATAGCTTGAAGATGCTCATCAGTAAGTTTGGACCTGAGCTTTGACTTGTTGAAGTTCATAGTGGAAAAGAGCTTTTCACTCAGATAATTACTCCCCCAAAAAAGGCACACGATCCGCATGAACAACCTGGAAATCTCAGGGAAGGTGGAGGGCAATGCTCTCATAAATTGTCATGCTTGTCTGTTTTTCCATTCACCTGCCTGAACTTAAAATTGTGCTGAAGATCAATCAGCTCCATTTGAAGCGCAAGTTGGGGGGGGGGGGCATCTTCCACATTAAAGGAGAAAGGGTCAGCACAAAATAGAAGGGTTGCTCTGTGTGTTTTGAGGTAGTGGAGGGCAATGCTCTCATAAATTGTCATGCTTGTCTGTTTTTCCATTCACCTGCCTGAACTTAAAATTGTGCTGAAGATCAATCAGCTCCATTTGAAGCGCAAGTTGGGGGGGGGGGGGCATCTTCCACATTAAAGGAGAAAGGGTCAGCACAAAATAGAAAGGTTGCTCTGTGTGTTTTGAAGTCTAAAAACACGTGATCAAATTCTTCCTGTAGCTTTGCGATAGCATCAGTATACTTACTACTGAATGGTGTGCCGGAGTCCATGAGTACTTTGCTTGTAAGGGAAATGGCACCATAAAACGCGTTTTGTCATAGGCAACACTGACGTGCTACACCTGGTTGTATAACTTCTTGTTGAGTATAACATTCAGCTCCTGGATGATGTCACCAAGAAGAGCCAAGTTCATGAGCCATCACGGATCACATTTTAGAGGAATAACCACCTCATTCTTCTGCATGAAGGCTTTCAATTTTAAAACGTGTTCAAACAGAGGGCAGGAGCAGGCAATATTGATCAATTATTGATGCGAAGGAAGATGTTACTGTAGGGAGGAGGAATTTTGATTAATTAATTATTTTTTTTGGTCGTGGAAAAGGCCTTTTGACTAACCCTAATTTGAAAGTGACCATGGTGACAGGCTCGGAATGTCTCTCACTCGTACACACAAGCGGCAATTTTTATTCAGATTCTTTGAAACTTTGTCAATTTTCTACGAATTACACAATTATGGTTGTGCATTACCCACAAACTGACATTTTAAACTTTTCTTATAACCGCACTTTGGCCGCCATATTTGTCTCATAAAATGCAATAAAATAAAAAACTTTTAGTCTGATTTTAAAACTTTTTTTTGCCATTATAATCAACGTCCAAACCTAAACAAACATCTAAAAAATCAGAATTAGATTAGTCGGTGAGATTCGACTGAAACCGTCGCAGAGAGTCACATTATAGATATGAGAATGGGGAAAACGCGCGGCCGAATTAACACTAAACTTTGCTGTCATGTAGCGGGCCGCAAAATATCGTCTTGCGGGCCGAAGATGGCCCGCAGGCCGCGAGTTTGAGATCCCTGTCCTAGTTTCTTTACCATTTCAGTATGTCCTAGTTTCTATACATCAGTACGTCCTAGTTTCTATACCTTATCAGTATGTCCAAGTTTCTATACCAAATAAGCATGTCCTAGTTTCTATACCATATCAGTATGTCCTAGTTTCTATACCAAATCAGCATGTCCTAGTTTTTAGACCATATCGGTATGTGCTAGTTTTTTAGACCATATTGGTATGTGCTCGTTTTTAGACCATATCGGTATGTGCTAGTTTTTAGACCATATCAATATCGGTATGTGCTAGTTTTTAGACCATATCGGTATGTGCTAGTTTTTAGACCATATCGGTATGTGCTAGTTTTTAGACCATATCAGTACGTCCTATCCTAGAGTCTATCAACATGAACAGATTTTGTGTGTTCTTGAGTTGAATGAACCTCGTTCTTCCTATTACTATTGCCCTGGTTTGAAAGGAAATTAATAGTTTATTGCGTTGTGTTGACATGACAATTTGAATTCTCCCGATGTCATTATAGTCAAAGTTTTGATGACCCTCTAGCGTCAACGACATCATGCTGAGACTGAGTCTGATAGACTAGGCACTCTAAGCTGAGCATAGTGGTGAAATCATTGTGGATTGAATGTTATTATGAAATCCTCCCTCCCCCGGGCCATGCGCCCCCCCTCCCCCCGTTTGTCCACCACTTCCCGTTTCTTGTCACGCGGTAACGAATCAGTTGATTAGCACCACATGTGGTTTTCTTCAAGGACATCGGGTCAGATCCAATTATTGAAACCTAAATGTTCTACTTCTACATTTAAATAATAACGTATGAATACATTGTCTATTCACGCTTGCCACAATACATAAAGTTTGGAGAAGTCACAACAGTATTCTTAAGTGAAGTCAAGCCCTAACCTTTAAGAGCGCAAGTTAGTTGTGAGGTTGGTAGAAGTCTTCTCACTGTGGTCGCCCGTGTGTGGTCCCGTGAAGGTGTGGTGAACAGGCTGGGAAATAGAAGACAAAGGGGGATGACTGCTACAGTAATAACCAACTTGGTCTCCACATGTTGCCTCCCCTCGCTCCTAACATGTACACGTTTTCCACTATTATTTTTTTCCCGCCCCGCGCCCCCACTCCCCAAACACCGTGGCACCCTAATCTCGACGCTATTGGCCGTATCCCCTGTCGGTCTGTGTTGATGCAAGGATATAAGCAACACATTCAGACAGCCCAGGTCCCATGTCTAACCCCAGTTTACAACAAGAAAAACAAATGCAGGGCTGGGAAGCGAAAAAGGGGGGGGGCGTGGGGGGCAACTGCCCGTTCGATCATTTGTGGGGGGTAAGGGAGTATGGTCGTGGTCTTAGTGACTCATGTTGATATCACTGTAACAATTGTCGCATTGTAGAATGTAGCAACATGTGATAAAATCACAGGTTTAAATATATTATTTTTAAAAACCAAATTCTCATTAAAATTTGTCCTGTTAATATTAAAAGCTGACCAAATATGACGTCACATGTCGGGGCCCTAATTGTATCCACACGACGTCACTAACCAATCTACTGAAATATTACATTTATGATTTGCTATCTTTCATGTTTATAGACAGAATACATTTTGACATCATTGATATAAGTCTCCGCGTTCAAATCTATTTGTAAAGAAATAATGTAATACGTTAAGTCAAATGTTAAGTCGCTGACTACACAAGGACGCAACGCACTGTGTTAAACTCTATCAACCGTGAACCATGGTGGCAAGAGTTATAGAGGTAACCCAGTTGTGCCCCGTTTGACCCTTCCCCCCTCAGGTCCTCATCGATTGTGCTGTTAAGCTTCTGACCCTAATTCCGTTATTACAATTTCTTGATTTTCAATAATCAGGCCCCTAGTATGGCAGGATGGGACAAATGATGTAGAGAGACTAGAGAGTCCTCTCTGGACATAGACAAAACGGTGTACTGCAAAACTAAGTGTTTTAACTTGTCGGTGTTTCTCGGTAAATGTGCAATTTGGGTAATTCTACTCCAAACACGTCACGTGGTATGGACGATTTTCCCGCCGTAAATGACGAACGCATCCGTGCTCCTGGCTGTAGACCTGTAGTAAATAAGTTCTCACTTAGCAGCTCCCCGTTCCTTGTCTCGGTTCTTGGTTGAATAGAAGCCATCTGCTCGACGCAGATATGAAAGAAAAATATGGTATTTATAAATCACTGCAAATTTAAGTTTAAAAGTCACTTTAAATTAAACGAACCACAAAAACCAGAGTTTTTCGTATCAATTCTTCACGTGCATTTTTCTTTTAGCTTTATCTAACTGTACGTGATTGGTCATTTACTAAGAAGCGGTTAAGTAAATGGGTCAACTTCTGGCGAAAACACGTTTCATATTTCCTTCATTTTCTCCTTTAAAAATCGATTTTTATTTTTACTGCATACCGAAATACGTCACAAATACAAAGCACATAGCAACAGCTACACAATTAATCTCCACACCAAAATACGAAACCATTGAACAAATTATTACTTCACTCACCTTCCCCTTGAAAAACAGGAAAAACAGATTTTTGGGTGTTGGGGGTGAGGCTGAAAATTTAATAACATGTTGTCATCGGCAACGAGCCCATGGGACAAGTTTCAGCTCGATAGGTTGACGAGAAGTGGGTCAATTAGGCTTTCAAATATTTTGCCACAAAGCCAGAAAGTAACACACGAACAAGAGCGAAGTTAATATAAAGGATTTAAAAATAGGTTGGACATATTTTTTTTAAAATAAGAAGGAAAAAAAAAAAAAAGGAAAATCTATCTCAGTTTTTAAAAAGCGTCAAGATATTTCAAATATTTTACGACAAAGCAAAAAAGAAACACACGAAAAAAAGGAAAGTTAATATAAAGGATTTAAAAAAAGGTTGGAAATATTTTTTTTAAAAAAAAAAGGAAAAAAAAAAAAAAAAGGAAAATCTATCTCAGTTTTTAAAAAGCGTCAAGATTTGGTTTGATCAAATTTGTATGCTACATCTTTCTTGCCTTTGACGCTACACTTCTAGGCGAGTGTGGTATTTGAATTTAAAGCACGTGAATTTTTTTATTATTATTTTTTTTTTTTACATCTTTCTAAATCCTTTGATGGGATTATTGTGTCCTTATCAGATGACCCGAAGATGTGCGAACCTGAGACAGGACCATCAGGACTGCGGTATATCATCTGGCGTGTGCCGCGATACACCGTCTAACACAGAGTAGCTCGTTTGCGATGCTCCAAACATGCTACAAATAAATTGTTGCCGGCCGGGCCGGGTCATGTGATCTCCTGTGACCAGCCAGGAATCCACCGACGGCCCCCCTATGCTTCTGTGGAGCTGTCAGCGTCCCCAGTGCTGGGGGAATACCCGGCCTGACATTCCTGGACGTCCTGAAGCTCTCACGGGTGACGACGGCCAAAAGATGACGTATAGGTTCACTGGTGGATCTGTCACCACATACTCATGTAGAAGGATATTTATAACTGTAGTCCCGTGCTCGGGGGTGCAAACTCTAAACCAAGGCAGTCCCTGAAACCCAGGGCAAAGGTTTGCTACCTCCTATGGCTGAGATGGGTGCATTTTTTTTTATGTGGTGAAAATACCCGCGGGTACGAGTGGCTACAATAGATTTAAAGAAAAAAAAAGAGTTATCTTGTGATTTTCTCAAATGTTTTCCACCCAAATTGCATGCATAGAACCACTAGCGCTCAAGAAGGCATCAAACTTGAAGGCTTACAATAACAGCTGAATAATTTTATCCTAACCCAGCGGTTCTCAACCTTTTTAATGCCGCGACCCCTTTAATGGTGTCTACTTTGATGTACCACAATTTTTTAAGGTCCCCGTGAAACGACATTTCATGTCATACGTTCATACATTTATAGCATTGCAAAATGAGGCCTTTTAAACGTGCATTTAACATTTAAAAACTTACTTTTGTAAAACCGCAACACGACACGAGACCAACATGTTTAGAACCGCTCGCTGAAATAATTAAGTATTCTTACGAGGCCAACATGTTTAGAACCGCTTGCTGAACTAATTGAGTAAAAATACGAGGCCAACATGTTTAGAACCGCTTGCTGAACTAATTAAGTATTCCCACGAGGGCAATATGTTTAGAACCGCTTGCTGAACTAATGAAGTATTCTTGCACCATTGTCTTAGCTGGTAAATATAATAAAGAGACGAAGAACGCACTTCCTGACACTCCGCAGAGACTAAATTAAATACATTCCCCACTTTCTCATTGTCCAATTAGTAACCCTGCGTTGATGATGCGGAAGGGGGGGGGGTGGGGTGAGAACTGGGTTAAGCTCAGTTCGTTGGTTTATTATTATTATAATTATTATTATTATTATTTTTATGTAGGGTCACGTGGTCAATAATAAACTAAGGTGAATTTGGAGGTGGGGGGAGGAGGGATGAAGAGCGTAGGTCTTTTTTTTGTCGCGGTGTCGATGCTTGAATTTGAATGAAAGTTTGTTAGTAACAAATAAATTTGAGCTTTATTGAATGTCTATAGACCCGATTGATAACGTTATTGGCTGGATTTAGAGTTGAATACCAAAAAAGGTCGGCGTAGTGCATACTCCTTGTCGATAGAGTAGCGTCAGAAATGCGAAGATGTCGTTTGAGCTCAGATTCGTCCACTGAAGTTTTATTGGGTTAAATGAACTTAAATCTCTGATAATGGTGCACACCGGGATAGGCTACTTGGTGTACCAGAGCGCCCCTTTCAATCCCATTTTGAGACTGATGTATCCTAGCGTCCCGGTCCCCTTTTTTTCTTAGTTTGGGACTCGGTGAACCCGAACTTCCCTTTCAACCTCGGATTGAGACTCCTTGTCCCCGAGCGTCACTTGCAATCTCATTTTGAGACTTCTTATACCGGAGCGCCCCTTTCAACACCGACTGCTTGTACCCGAGTGTCCCTTTCAACCCCAGTTTGAGAATCATTGTACCAGAGTGTCCCTTTCAACCCCAGTTTGAGACTCTTTGTACCCTATTGTCCCTTTCACCCCCGGTTTGAGACTCCTTGTACCCGAGTGTCCCTTTCAACCCCAGTTTGAGACTCCTTGTACCCTAGTGTCCCTTTCACCCCGGGTTGGAGACTCCTTTTACCGGAGCGTCCCTTTCAATTTCGGTTTGACACTCCTTGTACCGGAGTGTCCCTTTCAACCCCCGGTTTGAGACCCCTTGTACCGGAGTGTCCCGGCTCCCGTTAAACTGTGCTGGCATCATCCACCCCCAAAACATGATTAAAATGGAGTAGAATTATGTCTAGCGAGTTGGGTCAGGCCCATCGTTTGATGCTCACCTCGTCCCGTAATGAAGGCGAACTCTTCGTAACTGGTTGTATCACATCTATGTGTCGCCGGCCCAGTGGGCTGGCTCAACTTCTATGGAACGTCAAATTGAACATTAAACCGCCTCCATGTGTTGAATTAAAGCTCAGCCCGCGAGGTTATCTTTTCTAGCCAGATTACCTTGCCTCCTTATCTCCAAGGACATCGCGGACCAACACTTGCAATGGAAATATCACTTCAACATTTGTTGTGTGGGCGCTCTCTTAACTTCTTTTCAATTTCAACAGTAAATATAACATTATTTTTCTTCGGACCACTGACACTTTTAACATTTCTCTTCGATTGCCATTGTAGGCACTTGAATATCGATATTTTCTTGAACCTCTTTCCATTGTCCAAGAGTGCTGACATTAGATCTGGATCTTAACATGAATCCTCGTCAAGGAATTTCTATTAGCAAAGCAGTTTGAACAGTTATAAACATGAATACCATAATAAGTAACTATACAACCCGTAGGTTGTAGTAACCATAATCTGACACAATAATGACCAAATAACTTTGGTGTTTAAGCCGGGGAAAGAATCCTTGTTAAATTTGGTGGAAAATCAAATTAGAAATTGTTTCCCTTGACCTAATTGAGCCCTAACACATTGTTTCAAATCAATGATAACAAATGTTTATTTTCATTACTTTTTAAATGCGTACGTTATAAAAGCAGGTTTAATTATTTAAATTAAACATTATAAAAAGTAACGTTTTGCTCCATTAAAAAGAAATTGAAGGTGTCTTTTGTCGCTTTATATAAAATCTTTTCAGTCTTTGCATGCAACTTTTGTCAGGATATTTCATTTAAATTGATTTTAAAAATTAGTAAATGTTTACAATCCTGGTATACAAAACAAAAGAAACTTTTTAAATTTTTTTTTACAATTTCTTCCTAAAGTTGTCGGCTCCGCAAGTCCATCCGTCATAGTGCGGGTACCGTGAACTCGCGTGGCTAGGAAAAGTAACCCCGGGCCGGGTTTGTCTAATGGCTCCCGTCTAGTCGCCTCGCTCAGGCCCCCCCGCCCCTCTTATTTGAACAATTTCATAAATCCCGTTAGCTGCTCACGCTGCGATCAAATGAGGGCGAGACTTTGTGAGTAGTCCATCTCACCGAGCCGCGACCCACGCGCCAATCTTCCCTCTAATCATAGTCAGGTGGCCTCCCTTTTCTTCCCGGCGCTTTCGGGATTTTTTCGTTAGCAAACATCTCGGCGGAGAAAGAAGCCGCGGAGACTTTAGCCTTGAAAACAGTTTTTTTTGTGAAAAATGTTTGCAGATGAAATAATCAGTTTACATAGTCGTATTAAAATGAAGGTTTCTTTTTATAGTGAACGGAGCCTTCAGATCCGCGCGACACTGCTGCGAGCGCTGCTCGGGACTCGCTATTACGCGCCGGGGTGAGCTTTAAACAAAACGTATTTATTCGTCTGACAAGCCGACATTAAGCGAGGTAAAAGCCACATTAAGCTGCAGCGGGCTTACTCCGTGAACTTGGGACGTAAGAGCACTTACCCCAGAGTGTTGGAGGTGGGGGTGTGAGGGAGAGGTCTGGAGTTCAGGGCCGTGGTGGTGCGAACAGTGTGGTGAGGATATTTAGTTCAAGTATTGAATAGTAGACACACAGAGTGGTGGAGGGAGATCTCCAGCGTGCCGCTTCGTGGCCCGATACTCAAGCTTAAGGGGAGAGCACAAGCTCGACGGCTACCTGACGCCATTCCCTGAATTTTTTATTTTAGTGGTCAGATGATGTGGATTTTTAAATGTATGGTCAATAGAAAGAATTATTTTATATGACTGGTCAGTAGAAAGCAGATTTTAAATGACAGTTGAGTATATTGCTCAGCTTGTAGAATATTTGTTTTTGTTTATAAAACTGTGTTGGTTGAATGTTCGTTAGTAGATAATTATTCTTGCCGATCGTAATTCTGTTGGTATATTTTCACTGGTTGCCCAGTCAGTAGGTATTAGTTTTGTAACTAGTCGGTTAATAGATCCTTTTTTTTTTTTTTTTTTTAATTGGTCTTTTTCATTAAAGTTTTTTAAAGCTCTGTTTGACCGGAATGCCGATCGTAATTCTGTTGGTATATTTTCACTGGTTGCCCAGTCAGTAGGTATTAGTTTTGTAACTAGTCGGTTAATAGATCCTTTTTTTTTTTTTTTTTAAATGGTCTGTATCAGTAAAGTTATTTAAAGCTCTGGTTGACCGGAAGAGACACGGGAACCTGGCCATCACGTCCGACGCTTAAAAGATAACTTCTGAGGATTTGATTGTTAAGTAGATAGCCACCAGACGTCTGTGGCTACCTTAGTTAGTAGATAGCCATAGGCCGTCTGTGTCTACCTTGGTCAGTAGATTCCCTTCAGCCGTCTGCGACTACCTTGGTCAGCTCTGTAGCTACCTTGGTCAGTAGATAGCCATCGGCCGTCTGTGGGTACCTTGGTCAGTAGATTCCAATCAGCCGTCTGGTGCTACCTTGGTCAGTAGATTCCCATCAACCGCGTGTGGCTACCTTGGTCAGTAGATTCCCATCAGCCGTCTGTGGCTACCTAGGTCAGTAGATTCCCATCAGCTGTCTGTGGCTACCTTGGTCAGTAGATTCCCATCAACCGTGTGTGGCTACCTTGGTCAGTAGATTCCCATCAGCCGTCTGTGGCTACCTTGGTCAGTAGATTCCCATCAGCCGTCTGTGGCTACCTTGGTCAGTAGATTCCCATCAGCCGTCTGGTGCTACCTTGGTCAGTAGATTCCCATCAGCCGTCTGTGGCTACCTTGGTCAGTAGATTCCCATCAGCCGTCTGTGGCTACCTTGGTCAGTAGATTCCCATCAGCCGTCTGTGGCTACCTTGGTCAGTAGATTCCCATCAGCCGTCTGTGGCTACCTTGGTCAGTAGATTCCCATCAGCCGTCTGTGGCTACCTTGGTCAGTAGATTCCCATCAGCCGTCTGGTGCTACCTTGGTCAGTAGATTCCCATCAGCCGTCTGTGGCTACCTTGGTCAGTAGATTCCCATCAGCCGTCTGGTGCTACCTTGGTCAGTAGATTCCCATCAGCCGTCTGTGGCTACCTTGGTCAGTAGATTCCCATCAGCCGTCTGTGGCTACCTTGCATCAGTCGTTAGCGGCTTCATTGGTCAACTAGTGTTTTATTATGACTGTAAATCTGCTTCACTGACAGCATACAGTATGCTCAATCAAAGGCGCCGTCCATTTATTAGCCTGCTTAACGGAATAAAATTCCGGTCTTACAGGAGAAAATGAAGAAAATTTCAAAGGGAGCCAAATCTCAATCAGTTTGGTATTCACTCTCTTTGATAAGCAGCGCAGACGATTTCTTAGGAAATCTAGCTCAAATAAACCGCCATCATTCCGCCATAACGACACGCCCCCTGCCGGCAGCTTTTGGAGTCGTAAGAGTTAGCGTTCCGGGGGTCCCCGCTCTGTAAAGCCATTACTTACGCGACAGGTGTGCTTACCGCCCCTTGCCGGAAGAGGAGCGAATGTCTAGTTTAACGTGATGTACATGGCCGCAAAATTTCCATTCCAAGATTCGGCAACATGGCGACTGCGAAAATGTGATTTCCTTGGTAAGGTAAAAATCTGCCAAAACCATCAGGCTGATCTCAGTGGTCAGTGTACGCCATGACATCAAGACACATGGGCGTAATGCAGCATTTATAGCGGTGGGCGTTCTCTCAACATAGGGCTGGTTGATGTAACAATTGTAATGAAAAATCCACTCTGTACAATTTCATGTGGTTTGACAATCAATCCACTTTGAATAACGCGACATCGCTCTGCAACTTACGGTTGTGAGTTTATGCGGAACGGACAACCCCCCCCCCCCCAACTGGTGTTGTTCATTAAATTATTTTAGCTTTTCCGGCGCGGGTTGACTCGGTATAGGTTCGGGTTGGCTTGGTATAGGTTCGCGTTAGCTCGGTATAGGTTCGGGTTGGCTCGGTATAGGCTCGGGTTGGCTCGGTATAGGCTCGGGTGGGCTTGGTATAGGCTAGGGTTGGCTTGGTGTAGGTTCGGGTAGCGTGTTGTGGCAGCAGGTGTGCGTCATACGGGGTGTAGGTTGTCTTCTCATGGACAGGTTGACGTAGGACAGCACCAGTTTCTTAAGCGTTAACCTATGAACCTGACCACGCTGCCCTCGTTAGCACGTGTCAACGATGTCAAGTCTGTGTTGATCTGCCTTCAGAATGTGTCGGCCGGTCTCAGACATCTCTCACGCTTCTATCTTATTCCATTTCAGGAGAACCCGGCCCTCATCAACGAACTGAGAGCCGATGTGCGGGAAGAGTGTCAGAAGTTTGGAGACGTCAAGAAAGTCTTCCTCTATGATGTAAGTCCATGTCATCTTCTTATGCTTCAGCTTGTACGTTGTTTTTTTCTCTATACATTCAGTTTTAACCATTTATATAATTTATTATGAGCAACAGACCTGTTTACCCCTACGCTTTCGTCGCAGTAACTACGGTTTTGAGAGCCGAAAACGACTGTGACTCCAAGCCAGTGGTAAACAGGTCTGGGGCCAGGAACCTTTCTTTCTGGTAGGAATAAAACAGGGTTTTAATGAGTCCTGTTCAGTTATTGCTGCCTTGCTATTTAAGGTTAAAAACACCCAACTGTCATCCGCGTGTGGTACTGAATCTGTTCAACATGACATTCTCAAGGCGGCCCACGTCGGGGGTCAAAGCTCGTGGTCTCGGTGCAGTGTCGGTGTTTCTCGAACATCGACTCCAATTTTCAGAACGCACCGCTTCATTTCGTGTCACACGGATGTTGTTGGGTCTGTCTGTCTTTCGCGTGGGCGTTGTTGGGTCTGTCTGTCTTTCGCGTGGATGTTGTTGGGTCTGCCTGCCCGCACGTTAACACGACCTCCCAGATAACTGTCCGTGTCCGGGAGCTACCCCTCCTTTATCCCCGGAACTGACAGGTGATCAGTTTGGATGCTCCCCCGCCACGGACAATCTAAATGAAAGCCGCTGAGAGACCTTTGGTCACGTCTGCATTCACGACTCTGGAATTTTTTATTCAACAACATTTTAAAATAAAGGGATCCTTAGTCTTAAAAGCACACCCCCTTTATTAGGGAGAAAGATAAAGATAATAAAAGTAAACGAATTGGTCAAGCAATTTTTCAGCTTAGAATATATCTGAACTGCAACCGAAACACTTTGTTTCCTCATTATGCTGGGCTCACAGGTCCGAAACACTTTATGTTTCCTCATTATGCTGGGATCACAGGTCCGAAACACTTTATGTTTCCTCATTATGCTGGGCTCACAGGCCCGAAACACTTTATGTTTCCTCATTATGCTGGGCTCACAGGCCCGAAACACTTTATGTTTCCTCATTATGCTGGGCGCACAGGTCCGAAACACTTTATGTTTCCTCATTATGCTGGGCGCACAGGTCCGAAAAACTTTATGTTTCTTCATTATGCTGGGCGCACAGGTCCGAAACACTTTATGTTTCTTCATTATGCTGAGCGCACAGGCCCGAAACAGTTTATGTTTCTTCATTATGCTGGGCGCACAGGTCCGAAACACTTTATGTTTCTTCATTATGCTGAGCGCACAGGTCCGAAACACTTTATGTTTCTTCATTATGCTGGGCTCACAGGTCCGAAACACTTTATGTTTCTTCATTATGCTGGGCTCACAGGTCCGAAACACTTTATGTTTCTTCATTATGCTGGGCTCACAGGCCCGAAACACTTTATGTTTCTTCATTATGCTGGGCGCACAGGTCCGAAACACTTTATGTTTGTTCATTATGCTGAGCGCACAGGTCCGAAACACTTTATGGTTCTTCATTATGCTGGGCTCACAGGTCCGAAACACTTTATGTTTCTTCATTATGCTGGTCTCAAAGGTCCGAAACACTTTATGCTTCTTCATTATGCTGGGCTCACAGGTCCGAAACACTTTATGTTTCTTCATTATGCTGAGCTCACAGGTCCGAAACACTTTATGTTTCTTCATTATGCTGGGCGCACAGGTCCGAAACACTTTATGTTTCTTCATTATGCTGGGCTCACAGGTCCGAAACACTTTATGTTTCCTCATTATGCTGGGCTCACAGGTCCGAAACACTTTATGTTTCTTCATTATTCTGGGCTCACAGGTCCGAAACACTTTATGTTTCTTCATTATTCTGGGCTCACGCCAGGCTTTGTGAAATACAAAGTTCATTATGCTGGGCTCACAGGTCCGAAACACTTTATGTTTCTTCATTATGCTGGGCTCACAGGTCCGAAACACTTTATGTTTCTTCATTATGCTGAGCTCACAGGTCCGAAACACTTTATGTTTCTTCATTATGCTGGGCTCACAGGTCCGAAACACTTTATGTTTCTTCATTATGCTGGGCTCACAGGTCCGAAACACTTTATGTTTCTTCATTATGCTGAGCTCACAGGTCCGAAACACTTTATGTTTCTTCATTATGCTGGGCTCACAGGTCCGAAACACTTTATGTTTCTTCATTATGCTGGGCTCACAGGTCCGAAACACTTTATGTTTCTTCATTATGCTGAGCGCACAGGTCCGAAACACTTTATGGTTCTTCATTATGCTGGGCTCACAGGTCCGAAACACTTTATGTTTCTTCATTATGCTGAGCGCACAGGTCCGAAACACTTTATGTTTCTTCATTATGCTGTGCTCACAGGTCCTAAACACTTTATGTTTCTTCATTATGCTGGGCTCACAGGTCCGAAACACTTTATGTTTCTTCATTATGCTGGGCTCACAGGTCCGAAACACTTTATGTTTCTTCATTATTCTGGGCTCACAGGTCCGAAACACTTTATGTTTCTTCATTATGCTGGGCTCACAGGTCCGAAACACTTTATGTTTCTTCATTATACAGGGCTCACAGGTCCGAAACACTTTATGTTTCTTCATTATGCTGGGCTCACAGGTCCGAAACACTTTATGTTTCTTCATTATGCTGGGCTCACAGGTCCGAAACACTTTATGTTTCTTCATTATGCTGGGCTCACAGGTCCGAAACACTTTATGTTTCTTCATTATGCTGGGCTCACAGGTCCGAAACACTTTATGTTTCTTCATTATGCTGGGCTCACAGGTCCGAAACACTTTATGTTTCTTCATTATGCTGGGCTCACAGGTCCGAAACACTTTATGTTTCTTCATTATGCTGGGCTCACAGGTCCGAAACACTTTATGTTTCTTCATTATGCTGGGCTCACAGGTCCGAAACACTTTATGTTTCTTCATTATGCTGGGCTCACAGGTCCGAAACACTTTATGTTTCTTCATTATGCTGGGCTCACAGGTCCGAAACACTTTATGTTTCTTCATTATGCTGGGCTCACAGGTCCGAAACACTTTATGTTTCTTCATTATGCTGGGCTCACAGGTCCGAAACACTTTATGTTTCTTCATTATGCTGGGCTCACAGGTCCGAAACACTTTATGTTTCTTCATTATGCTGGGCTCACAGGTCCGAAACACTTTATGTTTCTTCATTATGCTGGGCTCACAGGTCCGAAACACTTTATGTTTCTTCATTATGCTGGGCTCACAGGTCCGAAACACTTTATGTTTCTTCATTATGCTGGGCTCACAGGTCCGAAACACTTTATGTTTCTTCATTATGCTGGGCTCACAGGTCCGAAACACTTTATGTTTCTTCATTATGCTGGGCTCACAGGTCCGAAACACTTTATGTTTCTTCATTATGCTGGGCTCACAGGTCCGAAACACTTTATGTTTCTTCATTATGCTGGGCTCACAGGTCCGAAACACTTTATGTTTCTTCATTATGCTGGGCTCACAGGTCCGAAACACTTTATGTTTCTTCATTATGCTGGGCTCACAGGTCCGAAACACTTTATGTTTCTTCATTATGCTGGGCTCACAGGTCCGAAACACTTTATGTTTCTTCATTATTCTGGGCTCACAGGTCCGAAACACTTTATGTTTCTTCATTATTCTGGGCTCACGGGTCCGAAACACTTTATGTTTCCTCATTATGCTGGGCTCACATGTCCGAAACACTTTATGTTTCTTCATTATGCTGAGCTTACAGGTCCGAAACACTTTATGTTTCCTCATTATGCTGGGCTCACAGGTCCGAAACACTTTATGTTTCTTCATTATGCTGGGTTCACAGGTCCGAAACACTTTATGTTTCTTCATTATGCTGAGCTCACAGGTCCGAAACACTTTATGTTTCCTCGTTATGCTGGGCTCACAGGTCCGAAACACTTTATGTTTCTTTATAATGCTGAGCTCACAGGTCCGAAACACTTTATGTTTCCTCATTATGCTGGGCTCACAGGTCCAAAACACTTAATGTTTCTTCATTATGCTGGGTTCACAGGTCCGAAACACTTTATGTTTCTTCATTATGCTGAGCTCACAGGTCCGAAACACTTTATGTTTCCTCATTATGCTGGACCCACAAGTCTGAAAAAAAGAAATAAAAAATTATAAAAAATCACATAAATGACCTCCACCCTGGTCAATGAGAGTGGGGATGACGTATTTTCAGTTAATTGTTTTCATGCAAACATCAGCATTTGACGTGATATTTATATATACCGGTAAATTGTTTGAAACTATCGAAACTATAATATTTCCATTGTCTCATCAAATCTTATGATAATATTTCCAGTGTCTCATGAACTCTTCTATTTCCATTGTCTCACCAACTCTTCTATTTCCATTGTCTCACCAACTCTTCTATTTCCATTGTCTCATCAACTCTTCTATTTCCATTGTCTCATCAACTCTTCTATTTCCATTGTCTCATCAACTCTTCTATTTCCATTGTCTCATCAACTCTTCTATTTCCATTGTCTCATCAACTCTTCTATTTCCATTGTCTCATCAACTCTTCTATTTCCATTGTCTCATCAACTCTTCTATTTCCATTGTCTCATCAACTCTTCTATTTCCATTGTCTCATCAACTCTTCTATTTCCATTGTCTCATCAACTCTTCTATTTCCATTGTCTCATCAACTCTTCTATTTCCATTGTCTCATCAACTCTTCTATTTCCATTGTCTCATCAACTCTTCTATTTCCATTGTCTCATCAACTCTTCTATTTCCATTGTCTCATCAACTCTTCTATTTCCATTGTCTCATCAACTCTTCTATTTCCATTGTCTCATCAACTCTTCTATTTCCATTGTCTCATCAACTCTTCTATTTCCATTGTCTCATCAACTCTTCTATTTCCATTGTCTCATCAACTCTTCTATTTCCATTGTCTCATCAACTCTTCTATTTCCATTGTCTCATCAACTCTTCTATTTCCATTGTCTCATCAACTCTTCTATTTCCATTGTCTCATCAACTCTTCTATTTCCATTGTCTCATCAACTCTTCTATTTCCATTGTCTCATCAACTCTTCTATTTCCATTGTCTCATCAACTCTTCTATTTCCATTGTCTCATCAACTCTTCTATTTCCATTGTCTCATCAACTCTTCTATTTCCATTGTCTCATCAACTCTTCTATTTCCATTGTCTCATCAACTCTTCTATTTCCATTGTCTCATCAACTCTTCTATTTCCATTGTCTCATCAACTCTTCTATTTCCATTGTCTCATCAACTCTTCTATTTCCATTGTCTCATCAACTCTTCTATTTCCATTGTCTCATCAACTCTTCTATTTCCATTGTCTCATCAACTCTTCTATTTCCATTGTCTCATTAACTCTTCTATTTCCATTGTCTCATTGACTCTTCTATTTCCATTGTCTCATCAACTCTTCTATTTCCATTGTCTCATCAACTCTTCTATTTCCATTGTCTCACCAACTCTTCTATTTCCATTGTCTCATCAACTCTTCTATTTCCATTGTCTCATCAACTCTTCTATTTCCATTGTCTCATCAACTCTTCTATTTCCATTGTCTCATCAACTCTTCTATTTCCATTATCTCATCAACTCTTCTATTTCCATTGTCTCATCAACTCTTCTATTTCCATTGTCTCATCAACTCTTCTATTTCCATTGTCTCATCAACTCTTCTATTTCCATTGTCTCATCAACTCTTCTATTTCCATTGTCTCATTGACTCTTCTATTTCCATTGTCTCATCAAATCTTATGTAAATATTTCCATTGTCTCATCAACTCTTCTATTTCAATTGTCGCATCAACTCTTCTATTTCCATTGTCGCATCAACTCTTCTATTTCCATTGTCTCATCAACTCTTCTATTTCCATTGTCTCATCAACTCTTCTATTTCCATTGTCTCATTGACTCTTCTATTTCCATTGTCTCATCAAATCTTATGTTAATATTTCCATTGTCTCACCAACTCTTCTATTTCCATTATCTCATTAACTCTTCTATTTCCATTGTCTCATCAAATCTTATGTTAATATTTCCATTGTCTCATCAACTCTTCTATTTCCATTATCTCATTAACTCTTCTATTTCCATTGTCTCATCAAATCTTCTATTTCCATTGTCTCATTGACTCTTCTATTTCCATTGTCTCATCAACTCTTCTATTTCCATTGTCTCATCAAATCTTATGTTAATATTTCCATTGTCTCACCAACTCTTCTATTTCCATTGTCTCATCAACTCTTCTATTTCCATTGTCTCATTGACTCTTCTATTTCCATTGTCTCATCAACTCTTCTATTTCCATTGTCTCATCAACTCTTCTATTTCCATTGTCTCATCAACTCTTCTATTTCCATTGTCTCATCAACTCTTCTATTTCCATTGTCTCATCAACTCTTCTATTTCCATTGTCTCATCAACTCTTCTATTTCCATTGTCTCATCAACTCTTCTATTTCCATTGTCTCATCAACTCTTCTATTTCCATTGTCTCATCAACTCTTCTATTTCCATTGTCTCATCAACTCTTCTATTTCCATTGTCTCATCAACTCTTCTATTTCCATTGTCTCATCAACTCTTCTATTTCCATTGTCTCATCAACTCTTCTATTTCCATTGTCTCATCAACTCTTCTATTTCCATTGTCTCATCAACTCTTCTATTTCCATTGTCTCATCAACTCTTCTATTTCCATTGTCTCATCAACTCTTCTATTTCCATTGTCTCATCAACTCTTCTATTTCCATTGTCTCATCAACTCTTCTATTTCCATTGTCTCATCAACTCTTCTATTTCCATTGTCTCATCAACTCTTCTATTTCCATTGTCTCATCAACTCTTCTATTTCCATTGTCTCATCAACTCTTCTATTTCCATTGTCTCATCAACTCTTCTATTTCCATTGTCTCATCAACTCTTCTATTTCCATTGTCTCATCAACTCTTCTATTTCCATTGTCTCATCAACTCTTCTATTTCCATTGTCTCATCAACTCTTCTATTTCCATTGTCTCATCAACTCTTCTATTTCCATTGTCTCATCAACTCTTCTATTTCCATTGTCTCATCAACTCTTCTATTTCCATTGTCTCATCAACTCTTCTATTTCCATTGTCTCATCAACTCTTCTATTTCCATTGTCTCATTGACTCTTCTATTTCCATTGTCTCATCAACTCTTCTATTTCCATTGTCTCATTGACTATTCTATTTCCATTGTCTCATTGACTCTTCTATTTCCATTGTCTCAACAAATCTTATGTTAATATTTCCATTGTCTCATCAACTCTTCTATTTCCATTGTCTCATCAACTCTTCTATTTCCATTGTCTCATTGACTCTTCTATTTCCCATCTTCCACAGAGAAACCCCGAAGGTGTCATCTCCGTAACATTCAAGGAGCCGGAAGAAGCCGACGCTTGTATAGCTGCACTGAACGGGAGATGGTTTGCTAAAAATAGAGTTGTGGCTTTTACGCATGACGGGAAAACCAAGTATGACGTCGTCGAGACCGAGGAGGAGCGAGCCAAGAGGCTCAAAGATTGGGAGGCGTTCTTGGAGGGCAAGAAGCGTAAAGAGGACGAGGCAGCGTGTGCCAAGGCAGCTGAGAGTGACGCAAGTTGTGGATTCGATGTCCAGTTGGGTGGTCAGTTGGATACTGACCCAGATACCCGAGACTCGGGGATGGGTACTAGGATTACTCAGCAGGAGAAAAACGAGACCTCAGTTGCCGGAGAATCTGATGATGACACTGTAGGGCGTGAACAACGGAACATTTCTGGTGTTGATGTTGCTGGGAGGGGCTGTGGTATAGATGATGCCCTCGGTGTGAGAGATGCAAGCGTTGTCTCCACATACACAGAACACGTCCCTGTGGGCGACAATGAAGATATCAATGCAAAGGATGGTGGTGGCGACGAAGATGAGAATGTAAACGACGGTGGCGACAATGAAGGTCAGAATGTAAAGGATGATGGTGACGGTGAAGATGAAAGCATAGAGGAGCCTAGCTGTGAAGGCTCCCGGTGACATTATCACATAAATGAGATGAAGTTCAAATGAAGTGGTTCGAACTTTCATCATTGTTTATATGTCCATTACATATTACTTTCAATAGTTTCTACTTTGAAGCTATCGATATAGTTTATAATGAATATCTATTAAACAGAAAATACATGTAATGATGATATAAAAGACCGAGAATGGTGCCACCATCCACGCCCCCCCCCCCCAACTATATTTTTTATGTTAATGATAATATTGAATAAATTTAACAATGGCTTAATGGAATTATTTCGTTTATTTCATTATATACGGTAAGCTTTTCTCTTAGTTAAAAAAAAATAACATTAAAAACACAAAAAAAAATTAAACAGAAAAAACCTGTAATGATGATATAAAAGACCGAGAATGGTGCCACCATCCACGCCCCCCCCCCCCAACTATATTTTTTATGTTAATGATAATATTGAATAAATTTTACAATGGCTTAATGGAATTATTTCGTTTATTTCATTATATACGGTAAGCTTTTCTCTTAGTTAAAAAAAAAATAACATTCAACACACAAAAAAAGGATGTTTGGGGGGGGTGGGCGTCTCGGCCAAAAAAAAATAATTAAAAAAGTAAATAAAACACGTATGAAGGTTATGAAGCATCATCTAGTCACTGTCAGCACTAATGAGCGAGTTACTTTAGATGTCACATGGCTAGATGTCACTTGGCTGGATGTCACTTGGCTGGATGTCACATGGCTAGATGTCACGTGGCTAGATGTCACTTGGCTGGATGTAACATGGCTAGATGTCACATGGCTAGATGTCACATGGCTTGATTTCACTTGGCTAGATGTCACTTGGCTGGATGTCACATGGCTAAATGTCACATGGCTAGATGTCACTTGGCTGGGTGTAAAATGGCTAGATGTCACATGGCTAGATGTCACGTGGCATTAAAATTGGAAATACAATTATGGGTCCAGCTGCAACTCAGGACAGGGTCGTGCCCAGAAGGAAGCGAGACAATGACGCCCCTCGAATGCCTCAATATATAGAAAAAAAGGGCCGCTCTTGGCGGACCATTGAATAGACGTTTTAGGCTCCCTTGTGTTAGTGATGTACATGATATTTCATTGTATAATTCACAGTAAGGCCTTATATCTAAAGACGATTTTGCCTCCCCCCCCCACCTTTCCTGAATTGGCCGCAGGGGTGACAGCCCCGTACGCATGGCCCCAGAGCGACGAGGCGTATATTTTGGGAACCACTGGTTTCGCCAAACAGTGGTGAAAACCCGTAATGGTTTCTGTAACGTCATAATTGTCTATAAAAAAATGGATTCTGTTAGTGGGTTTCTTGTTGAGGGGGAAGGGGGGGGGGTTCGAAAGCTCATTGTACCTATGCATATGGGGGGGGGTGGGTGTAAAAATATTAATGGTGCAAAAGGGGGAGGGTGGTCGAAAATTTGACACTTTTGTGTATGTTATACTTAATGGATCGCCCCTAAGTTAACTTAAAATAACTTTGCGAGACGCCAAACTTATTTTGTGTGTTGTCAAGAAGCGGGTATTTGCGATTTGACTCGATTGACCCGCAGATAGGTCGCACCCTTAGTTTGGGGAGTTACATGCCTCTTGTTGATTGAAATATAACTGATGTTTGTTAAACAGACCTCACACACTGTTCCCATAATAACTGAACAACTGAAAGCGCAATCGTCACAAACTACGGATCTCTTCACAAACCTTTAAAAAAAACAAAGGATTGCCCTATCTACTTGAACGTAAGCAAGGAAGACAACGATTCTCCAGGGTTTTTTTTTTGTTAATAGTATAAATGGCTTACTCAGGATGTGAATCTAATGTCGAGAGAGCACATCGACCACACAATTCTGCCCCTGATGTACAGTCTTATCTAAAAGAACCGATTCCCAAACTTGTATCCTTAAAGGACCTGCGCTCTTCAACACAGTCCTTACTGAGAGAGCTCAGTGTGGATGAACACAGAAGGAAAACATACGGAGTACGCTCTTTTGAAGCTATAGAACCTAAATAATGGAACAGTTTGTATCAATCTTTTAGGGAAATTAAAAATGATAAATAACCATGATAAGTTTAAGAAACATTAAAATAGATTTTATGACATCAGAGCGCTGTGAGCATGCCGAGATAGCATGGGCGCAAGTGCTACACATGTAATCAATCATCATCATCTTAGTTGTCACTCCATGTGTAAATGTTTGATAAAATAAACTCCGACATCTACGCGAATATATACTTTATGCGGTATGTTTCTAATGATTTGATCTCATTCAATGGAGCACACAATGCAACCACACATTACTGTTCAAATATCACGTTTAACATTGGGGTATCAAAATGTCGATGGAATCTCTATGTCCTGCTCGACAATAGCCAAAACTTTATTTAAAAAAAATTATATTAAAAAATAAAACTAACAAGGCCAAAAGAAAGGAGAACTGAACCGGGTAGCAGACGAGATGAAAAGCGTTCCCACGATGCTTGCACGAGACATGTCCGTTTCCGAACCGCGTCCTTCCTGACTTCGTTTTTTTTTCGTGTTGTCTGTCTACGTCTACACGAGTCTAAAGTCTAAACACCTCTCTCGGCTCTCTATGGGTATGGAGACAAGAAGAGAGAGCATCGAGAGCAAAGGTGAGGTCGAATGAGCTTATCCCCTACAAAGGTAAACAGTGTTACACGTCACGTGCTCGGAGCCATTGTGAGTGTAAGCACCGTGCTTTTAATTATAGGTCTTTCCGTTTCCGCAAGTTTTGTCCTCCATCTTGAGCTATTTGCTTAATGACATTTTGAAGTTTAGTAAGGGAATCGGATTCTTTTAGATCAGGAATTGGAGTCTCCCAGATAGGGAGTTGCGCGTATAAAGAAAGGGCGTATGTGTGTAAGACAATCATAAAATATAATCTTCTAATGAACACATATCATCATGAAGGATTACCATGGAGTTGATCATGCTATACTATCAGTTTGTAGATGACAGTAGGCAATCCAGTTTTGAAAGACACATTTAAAACACAATTTTCAAATAGATGTCATTATATCCCAAATAGATGTCATATGTCACAAATAGATGTCATATGTCCGAAGTAGATCTTTTATGTCCCAAATAGAACTCAAATGTCAAACATAAATCTTATATGTCCCAAAATAGATATATGTCATAAATAGATCTCTATTACGCACTGGCTTCTCTTGTGAGAAATAAATCTCTTGTTTTAAGTTATGGCTCATTCACACAGTGCACAACAAAGAACGATACCATAGAGAAATACAATAAGAAAGATACGACATGCAAAAACTGTTGCCAATTACAATTAATAAGATTTAATTTAGTAATAATACAATTATGAAACAAAAGAAATATAATTACAACTGATCAACTTACAGAGTATGGTAGATCTTGTACCGGTACACAGTTAGTACAATGTGCCAATTAATAATGTACAATGACGAAATTCGAATAAACACATATATAAGAACACAAAGAATAATAAACGTCTCGTAAGGCTACCGTCTGCTAGGGATCTAATTTGGGTCAAGCAAAGTTCAAGCACGAAAAATAGTGTACTACATAACTATCTCATATATCACAACTAGATCTCATATGTCCCAAATAGATCTCGTATGTCCCAAATAGAGCTCGTATGTAACAAATAGATCTAATAAGTCCCAAATAGATGTCATAGGTCCAAAATAGATCTCATATGTCCCCAATTAGATCTCGTATGTCCCTAGGGTTAGATGGATGGATGATGTTGAGAGGCATATACAGCAGCTGGGAATCCAAGCATGGAAAAGAAAATCATCAGGTCTGAGTGGAAGGATGTGATGAAGCAGACCAAAGCCCTACTTTGGCTGTCCCGCCACAGGGATTGATGGAGGTAACTGTTTCAACCCACAGTTTTCATTTCATTCGTTAATCATTAAAAAAAAATTGTGTGTGTTTGTCATGTGGGTGATTTTTGTTTCTATAATATGTATTTTGAGTAATCCCAATAGATACTGGTATCACTGGCTTTCTGAATGCTACAGAGCTGAGATGGTTACTAACGGTGGAGAGACTGTAATACTGCAATCAAGTTTAGGTAGAAAGAAAGCTGTGAAACCAGGCACGATATCGTAAAACCCGAAAAAAGTACGCAACAAAACGACGAAAGTGTCGGCGAGAAGCCTTCTTCAGCAAACAAACATAGACGAACACAGATACAAAAATTACAACTTCGCTGGAACGTACGGTATCAAAGATGTTTTATCCAAGATGAAATCCAGATGTATCCAAGAGATTGTAATGATATGTTGTATCCACCATGTTGTGAACGAGATGTTGTATCCCCCATGTTGTAAATGAGATGTTGTATCCAATATTTTGTAAACGAGATGTTATATAAAAGATTTTTAACCGAGATGTTGTATCCAAGATGTTGTATCCGAGATGTTGAATCCAAGATGTTGTATCCGAGATGTTGTATCCAAGATGTTGTATCCGAGATGTTGAATCCAAGATGTTGTATCCGAGATGTTGTATGTTAGATGTTGTATCCAAGATGTTGTATCCGAGAGAACATCATCATTCCTCTAGCTGAGATTAAGAAGATATTTAATGCTTTAAACTAGATGGATGAGTTTTAACAAAGGCGCCCTACCTTCATATGTGTGTGCCACCTCGGGTGTGCAAAGCTTTTCGCCACCTTCTTCCATGAAAAAAAAAATAACACTACAGTGACATTGGGCAAAAATGCCACCCTTCAATATTAAGAAAATAGTGCCGCCCTGGGGCAGACCGCCTAATCGGCACCCTCCTTCTTAAGCCACTTGTTAATGGATTGATAATTGTTCTTCTTAAAACATAATTATGCCATTCATGTGGGCCTACAGTTTTTAAATACCGGTATCACCAGTCTGAAATAGCCATGAAAGACACATAGTCCCAATTTACAAACAAATATTTATTCTAGTAAAAACCAACCCTTAAAAACATAGTGTTACGTATAAATCCTTTATAACTTGTATGCATTTTTGTCATTGTACGTGATTTATGATTTATGTGATTGTAACAACCGATTTGTGATGAGAATGGTTGCATCATATTTCCTTCATCTTCTCCTTGAAAAACAGGAAAAACAAAGATTTTTGGGGTTTGGGAGTGGGGGAGGGGGGTCTGAAAATGTAATAGAATGTGTGGTCCTCTACAACGAATATATGTGCCAAGTTTCACCTCGATAGGATGACGGGAAGTG